AACCTTGAACTTCAAGGGGTACAACAAGCATTGGATGCTGAAGACTAATTCTAACCTTGAACTTCAAGGGGTACAACAACATGCTGAAGACAATTCTATGAACTGAAGACAACAAGCATTGGATGCTGAAGACCAATTCTAACCTTGAACTTCAAGGGGTACAACAAGCATGGGATGCTGAAGACTAATTCTAACCTTGAACTTCAAGGGGTACAACAAGCATGGGATGCTGAAGACTAATTCTAACACGGAACTTCACAGTGTACGACAAGCATGGTATACTCAAGACCAGTTCTTCACGGGGCTTTTTCCTTTGGGGTCTAAATGTCGGATGGAGCATATTTCCGCGCAGAACTCCGTCCCTTATGTGTGCCAGCTTCCTTTGGTCGTGTTTGTAAAGCCCAGTGTCCTACTAATATTTCTCATTGGTTTCTCAACTCCGGAGGTTTCAAGACCGCCATTGATTGAAGCTCTCCTTCCAGATGAAGACAACTGTTGTCGGACGAAAATGTTCATGTTTTAGACTGGCCCAGATTTAAACCCTATTGAGAATGTGTGGCGACTAGTGAAGAACAGAATAAACCAATTTAAAGGACTTAGACTTATTGCGTATATGAAGAAAGAAGTGGTCGAATATTGGGATACGCCGTCACACGATTTCCTACAAACCTTGATCGGCAGTGTACCTAGGCGCATTCAGTTGTATATTGCAGGGCAAGGAGGTCTCACAAAGTACTGTAAAGACACTTAGACTGTAAGAGAATCATATCTCAACATATACATGTAAGTACAACGTCTATAGTATTTATACTTATATTGGATATTTGCCGAAACAACTTATTCAATAATTTCTGGAAAGACTATTACTGCCTCAAGCTTCATCTGTCATCCTTTATACAGACCCCAAATGGTTCAGCAATGTGTGTTCTGACATGTGATACGCCTGTACCTGTCTGATAGCTTGTATTGTTTACTTTGGTACAAAGATTCACCCCAACAGCTGTGCTGATGTGCACATATAGTACAATTTATTCGTGTTTCAAAAAACCCAACAAAACCAATACTCTAATTTGCACATTTAGGATTGATATCAGCTACGCCAGAACAAATCAATTTGTTAAACACAATATGCAAACCATACTTTAGCAAACCATCGTGGTATTTTAGAAGAACCCGTGTACCATATCAAACCCAGCTGGGGTCACTCTGGTAGGAGACTAAGTCCTGTGGTATTTAATAGAGATAGATGCCGCCAGTGTGCCTGAAGATCCCTACTTGTGTCGAAAGGCTTGGCAGCAGAGGGTCAGGGACTGTGAGACAGACTAGGGTAGGTACCAACTGACTGGCCACACCAGGGACCAATCACATTCAGGACGTCCACGAGTGATGTAAGGTGAGCATGGTATTTATGTTTCCCCGTTACCCTGTGAAATCGGTTTCAGATTCCAACATTGACACTTGACAGCCCTCGGTATTAGAAGTTATGTCCGAATTGAAATTGTGAGGACATAACGCAGAGGTACAGATAAGCTGCGTATCTGCGTAAAATTCGCAAATATTTATGTGAAAATTCTATTTCTAATATGTCTAGTGCGTACAAGTTCGCTTGAATTTATGTAAATACTCAATAAATTTGATCTTACATACGTATACATAAAATAGATAAAATAACAGGTATATGTATGTTGAGGAACTTGGCAACGTGCAGTCTTTCTGATTGTTTCTCATATTACAAATCAAATTAATAGAAAATTGCAAAATAACCAACTGAGTTTGAGTGAGGTGGGTACGATCTGTTTGGTTACACAAAGGAAAATTAGGATACCCAATTGAGATGAACACAAGCGAGTACATAACTCAATGACCCAAAATGTTATCTGTAGCTCTGATAACTGACGTCCACTCATACGTCCTGTATTATTGTACCGCAATACTGTCTAGTATTATTGTATCATTATTGTACTGGACACCTGACATGGACATGTCATCTCAGTTTACATGACGAGACGTCAGTCCTCTCTACCGACAAACCCAGGTCTCATCCTGCAGAAGCAATGGTCATCAGGCGACGTCAAGCCATTTGATGACGTCGGATTGAACGTTACAATGAGGTGAGCGTTGTTCGACGTTCTCAGTGGTGGGATCATCCATTCTCTGTGGACAGATGTAGCCCTATTAGCACGCCAGAAGCCTATGGTTAGAATCCCGATTCGCCCCGGTTATGGTTTTAGGTTTGTCAGGACCATGCCCGTGCTCGTCTGTTTGACCAAAATGATCTTCATCACTTTTCCATCACTGGTTTTCCTCAAGCATTAAGCTGGCACAATCATCTAGTTTAGATAGAAAACCATACTTTAGTTATATAACACTAGTTATTCATTGACGGGGGCTGTGGGGTGGCCTAGTGGTTAAAGCGTTCACTCGTCACGCTGAAGACCCAGGATATAATGGTTTCATGCAAATTGACGACAATTTCGACAATTTTATTACTCAAAACCACCTTCGGTGGTACAAAAACCACCTTCGAGCATATTTTAACAACAATTTATGTACAATTCATATGCATGCGTCTTAGATAGACAACTGAATAAAATAAATAATTCCTTATACATATGTACAGTTCCCTATATATAAATAAGTGAATATATTTATTGGTGGATAAACACAAACGCTTATTAAAGATTGGTTAGCATTTTTTGCAACTGTATGATAAAATTTGACAAAAATTTCTTATATCTAGTTGTCGTCGGCGAAAGAACAAGAACTAATTTAGATATATTGTTAAGATATTTTGTGGTGGGTATATATTGTTCACGATATGAATTAAGTGCCGGACATTTAAGAATATAGTGTAATTCATCACCGATTACACTTAAATTACAAAGTGTACAATATCTTTCATCCCTCGGTATACTTTGCCATCTTCCAGTCTCAATTGGCAGGTTTACATTTAAAGTTCTAAATTTTAAAATCGGCACAGAAATATATTTCGGTAAAAGTAGGTATTTTTCAAAAGCAAGTGATTGTTTGTAATGTTGATAATACATTCCTTTCGGGCTAGATTTGATACTTTCCCTCCACTGTTGAATAAACTGGTCTGTTAAAACTTGTCCAGCTTTCAGAACTAGAGAAGACGTGGTATATACCGAGGGATTTACAAATACATATGATAATCCAATCCTATCTAGTAAACCCTTGATATAGTGAATCCAAGGATCCGACTTAAATTTTTTATTGTATTTATTTAAACTGTAATTATATAACACATGGGATAATTTAAGTGTATCAGTATATGTTAGTTTGTGCCAAAAGGACAACATACGTTGGTATATTTTTATAGATATTGGAGTTCTGCCAAGTTCGCCGTAAACCATAAAATTCGGCGTAGATTTCCTTAGTCCAGATGCAAGTTTCAGAAATTTTAGATGTATATTCTCTATTAGGTCAAGTTTTTCAAATCCCCACAATTCTGATCCATAGGTTAAAATAGGTGTTATCATCATATCAAATGCCGATAATAAACAATCTAAGGGTAAATTCAAATTTCTTGATTTTTTCAGCAGGCTATACATAGCCTTTGTAGCGTTTTCGGTTATAGTTTTTATGCTAGTTACCATTCTTTTGTTTCTGTGTAGTTTTATACCAAGATATACATAACTGTCGACTAAACTAAGATTTTTCTCCCCAAATTTAAATATCATTTTTGATTTAGCCGCTGGGCCCGAACCGAATACTAAAATTTTGGTTTTTTGATACATTTACATTGAGTTGCCAATTAGTGCAATATTCATATAAGGAATCAAGAGACTTTTGTAGGGCTTTAGGAGTAAGGGCAAATAAAACAGTGTCATCAGCGTAAAGTAACAATAAAATTTGCAGCCAGATTTGTATTTCATTTTCATTAGATAATTCCAAGTTAACTCCTTCGCAACCGTTTTCATACAGATTATTCTCTAGATCATTAAGAAAAATTGAAAATAAAAGTGGCGATAAGTTCTCTCCTTGCCGTACCCCTTTTTGACATGGGAAATAATCGGATGTACTGTTTTGTGTACTTACTGTTGACTTAATGTTACGATACATACTTTTTACAAGCTCAAGAAATCTTCCATGTATACCGGACTTTTGCATCTTCGTCCATAGACCGATTCGCCAGACAGTATCAAATGCTTTTGTGAAGTCGATGAAGGCACAGTAGAGCTTTTGCCTTTGTGATGTCAGTATACTATTAATTGTCCGCAAAATAAATATGTTATCGGATGTTGTAAAATGTTTTCTAAAGCCTGCTTGAGCGGGAGTAATGATATTGTTTTGTTCAAGGAAAGATGTTAAACGCGAGTTTAGTATAGAGGTAAAGAATTTTCCAACACAGCTTAAAACAGTTATAGGTCTGTATGAACTTGGGTCAAGTTGGTCACCCTTATTTTTGTATATCGGTTTTATAACTCCAATCAGCCAAGAATCGGGAATTTTACCTGTTGTAAAAACGAGGTTGAAAAATTGAACATAGAAGGGGGCAAAGATGTCAATAGTATCGATTATGTAATCATTTTCAATATTGTCCAAGCCCGCTGCTTTATTTCGTTTGAGTGTTTTGGCGGTAGACATAATTTCTTCAATGCTAATGTCGTTATTAAGAATACTACAGTCATATTCCAAATCGGGATGATTACTTTCTTTGAAATTCAATACATGTTCGCTGTAATTTTCTGCATTTAGATCTCTATAGTATTCAAAAATGTTTTGGTATCAGGCATCGCGATGTTATCTTTCGGGTTTCTATCTTTGAGACATTCCCAGTATTCTTTCGGTGACTTTTTCATTTTTCTCTAAACATATATTTTCAAGAGATATCCTATGTTTTCTAATATGTTCATCTATGCATTTCTTGTAAGCTCTCGATTCGGTGCGTAGGTTTTCAAGATTAGACTGTGATTTATTTTCCTTAACTTTTCGTTTTGCTTTATGGAATCTTTTCTGAACTTTCTACATTTTGTATTGAACCACGGCTTGTTCTTACGATAGCGGGGTGTGTATTTCATCTGTTGTCGTGTCCCAAATGTTTCACGTGCAGCATTAACAAGCACGTGCGCGAGGCGATCGGAGAGCGTGTTGATAATCGATAAATCTTCATGGTTGGATACCGCTGTACGGACAAGATTTGTAAGTTTATTTACTTTATTCATGTCAACATTTTGGCGAAAAGTTGCTTTTTTATCGTGATTATAACGTTTAGGTTTAGCCGTTTTACTGTTATCTACATGATGACTAAGTTTAGGTTGCTTTACTACATCGGGAATATACTTGCTTGTCAGTGTAAACGATAATGGGCAGTGGACATCTGACGTGAGGGGAGAAAAGTCTAAAACATCAAAATCGGTAAAAACTTTTAAACTTTTGGGGGAAGTAAGAACATAATCGATTAAACTTTTGTCATTACAAGTTAACTTCCCAATATGTTTATCATTTCCCACCCTTCCATTTACAATGAATAATTCAAATTCTTACAAATATCTATAAGTGCATAGCCCAAACTGTTTACTTTACCGACATCTTTAGATGATCTTCCTAGAGGAAGGTTTAAATCATGTAAATATTTCTCAGGGCATATATCTCCAGTTTCATCTAAATCAAACTCTCCAGTAAGAAAGTCATCGTATACAGAATAATCACATAAGGTATTTGTTCTGGAGTTGAAGTCACCCATTAGCGTAACATATTCACTTTTCGTAAGCTTATGCATAACTGAATGTTCTAGGTCGAGGAAAGTGTCATTCGTAACATATCTGGATCCATCGGGGGATATACACTATTCCTAAATAGTGATCCTGCTCAATATCAAATAAAGTTTTTGACATTTTTATCAACATTATATAATCATTATCCTTCTCTACTAATGTAATAAAATCTTTGTACTCGTTCTTAACGGCTATTCCAATTTCTCCTGATTTTCTGTTAGTTTTTACTCTATTCCTGAGCGATAGTGTATACCCATCAAGATGTATGTCATCTAATTCATTTGTTTTAGTTTCTTGCAGTCCGATAATATGTTTACTTTCTATAAGGTTAGCAAATTCCGAGTACTCTAATCTTTTTCTTAGTCCACATACATTAACACTTAAAAACTTAAGGGCGGAATAGTTTAAAATGCAGTCGTCATCATCATCATCATCATCATCATCATCATCATCATCATCATCATCATCACCACCATAATCAGCAGCGTTAGTATCATAAATGTCAACGTGAACATTATCTACGACATGTTTATCAACATCTACAATATTATCATCTTCATCAGCTATGTCAATATGAGCGTCTACAGCATTTGTATCAACATCTTCGATTCCAGAAGCATCATTATTAACACTTCTGTTGATGTATTCAATTTTGTTATCAGATTCGGGAACATCAATATTTACATTTCTGTTGATATGTTTCATTTTATCTTTATTTTCAGAACCAACAATATTTATACTTCTGTTGAGTACACATGTTATTCTTACTCTTTACCCAACAAGGCCTCTTTCCAATTAATCAAGACCTACTACTAATTGTATCTATTGCTGATGCTATTCTAACCACAAGGCACAATACCTAGCAACAATGACACCGTTAAGAAATGAGTGAGTGACCAACACACCAAGATAACAAAATCACCCGCAAAGCCATTGTCTACTTTTTGTAATTAGAGTGTGTGAGTTCAGTTTAACGCCACATTCAGCAATATTCCAGCAATATCACGGCGGGGGACGCCAGAAATGGGCTTCACACATTGTACCCATATGGGAATCGAACCCGGGTGATCGGCGTGACGAGCGAACGCTTTAACCACTAGGCTACGCCACCGCCTACACGTTAAGAAATGGTTCCACAGACAGATAACCTCGGGATAGACCATATGACTATTAGTTGAATTCACTAAACCTTTCCTTTTTATAAGATGTAATTACAAGAGGGGCGGTGGGGTAGCCTGGGGGTTAAAGGCTTCGGTCCACACGCCGAAGACCCGGTTCCGATTCTCCACAGGGGCCGTGGGGTAACCTAGTGGTTAAAGCGTTCGCTCGTCACGCCGAAGGCCCGGGTTCGATTCCCCACATGGGCATAATGTGGAAAGCACATTTCTGGTATTCCCCGCCGTGATAATGCTGGAATAGTGCTAAAACGGCGTAAAACTAAACTCACTCACTCGATTCCCCACGTTGGTACAAAGTGTGAGGTCCAGTTTTGGTTTCCCCGGCCGTGACATTGCTGGAATATTGCTAAAAGCGGTGTAAAAGTAAACTCACTAAAATTACAAGAAGCAGACAATGTCTGTGCGGGTGATTTTCTTGTGTTGATGTGTTGGTCTCTCAAAGTTCTCTCAGTATCTCTGCACTCCACCTTGGTATGTAAGATGTAGCATGACTTTTAGTTTTAAACCTGATGACCTAGGGTTTACCTAGGGGGTGACGCAAAGATTAATCCCCCTGTCTCTCTGACCACGCAGTCACCGCTAGCTGACACCGCCATGCTCCTGGTCAGTGAGAGTTTAAGGTTCATAATGTTCTTAACGAGCGATTATTCACAGGAGTATTTAAAGTTGTCCTGTATACCTAGCCTGTCCAGACCAAAAGACGTGTACTGAGTCGTTAACATCTACAGCGACATCGCGGGAACCTTCCCTCCCACCAACAGTATGGTAGACCATCGGTCAATGTTTTCTTGAATTGTCATGTTCATGATGAGATTTTATTTTTCATTTAATGCATTATGCCAAGTTGCAACAGCGCCGTTTTCAAGTCAGATAAAAATATGCTGAGCAGTCTTGCCAAAACATTATTATATTCGCTACAGGGGAGCAGCATGTGTTATCACAGATGTTATAATAGTATAAAATGCTTAATATATTATAAAATATCCTTCAAATGTTGAATATAGGTTTTATTCCTTAATGAATGACCAGCGTATTGTAATCCAATCATGGTAGCGTCAGTTACAACCTCATCTGTTACTGTATGATGTCAGCCAACTGCTTGCCCCTCTTCATATACCTTTGGGGACGGTGGAGTAGCCTAGTGGTTAAAGCGTTCGCTCGTCACGCCGAAGACCCGGGTTCGATTCCCCACATGGGTGCAATGTGTAAAGCCCATTTCAGGTATCCCCCGCCGTGAATTTGCTAGAATGTTGCTAAAAGCGGCGTAAATCCATACTCACTCCACTCATGTATCGTCAGGGACGACCCGTGAAGATCCGGGTTAGAATGAACATTCAGTAACCCGTGCTTGTCGTAAAGGGCGACTAACGGGATCGGGTGGTCAGGCTCGCTGGCATGATTGACACATGTCATCGGTTGCCAATTGCGAAGATCGATGCTGATGCTGTTGATGACTGGATTGTCTGGTCCAGACTCGATTATTTACAGACCGCCGCCATATAGCAGGAATATTGCTGAGTGCGGCGTAAAACTAAACTCACTCACTCGATCGTAAGGGACATTTATGCCATGCTCAAAGTAACAACTGACGTGTTCTCGTTCCATCAACTTTAGTAAACTCTCAGAATATGTCAGTACTGCCTTCTGACAAGTATGGTAATAAATTCAGTCGGGATGTCTCCACAATCCACCGGCTTTGTTATATTGCCTAGACCGTATTTCATTGAGCGGGGAGGGATGTGTTGACATGGTTGAATAACTGGCACTTACTGTTATGTATGGGGTCGTTTAGTCGAATGAACGTCTAATGTCACCATCCCCGCGTGAATATGCAGTTCCACTTACACGCCGCAACAACGACCAGTATCACCACAGAGACGCGTTGTCCGGAGCGGTGGGCTGCGTTCATCATTTCGTCGGTCAAGAAAGGTTGGGCCTCTTACTGCCAGGAAATCGCACAACATGGATGACCAGAGAAGGTATGGAAATATTCTTATGCAAAGCAGACAAAGCTATTAAATACATTGTATTATGTTCGTGTTTTGCTGCATATCTCATCAGTTTCATTATTTTAAAATCTGCAATTGCAAAGTAATTATCTTAAAACATTTTTTAAAAGTAAAGATGAAGTTAATTATCCTCAGTCCATATACGGAACCATTTCTTTCGCAATTATCAAGATATGCCCAGTTTACATGTTTACAGTGGCTTGGTAGTTAAAAGCTCTGGCGCCTTAAGACAGGTATATGTCCGTCGACAGAAATGTCTGCCGAAATTTAGGATAGGGCATCTGTATTTTTATGTGTTTCTCATCTCCAGGAGAGATTCAGGTAACCGGATAATCTTTTTCGCTGTCAATATTTGACAAAATGTATGCGTCCGAATAAGTGAGGTTTGACTGTGTTACATAATAAGCGACCTTATTCCATGTGTCGTCCCCACACTTATCCTAAAGGTTCGCTGTGTTAATTGAATGCATGCTAATATGCACTAACTGCAGATCTTAAAGTCTATTACTATATTTTGCAAGTTGCCATGACTACATTTAAATCTTGCGTCGATGAATATAAACGATTTACGTTTCACTGATTGTAACCATTTTGCTTTGACAGTGAATGATCAGATGATCTATTGTTATATTCTTCATGATAATTTTTTTCAAATGCATAAATGATATCGATTTTTTGTTAATCATCAACGGGCATGTGCACATGATACTATATTCGATATTTTGGTGTAATCTTACATGTACATGAATGTACAGCAAATATCAACAACACCACAGGAAAAATAGATTTACATGGCCAAATCTTCATAACAAATGTCATGATAAAATATGTTGATTTTAATCTGTTTTAAGTTCAGTGGGAAGTACAATTGTTCTCCTTCCCGTAACATATAGTGAACGGGACATCAGACTGCAACTCTGATAAATGGAGTGAGTGAGTGAGTACTGTTTTACGCCGACTTTAGCAATATTCCAGCAATATCACCACGGGGAACGCGAGAAATGGGCTTCACACATTGTACCCATGTGGGGAATCGAACCCGGGTCTTCAGCGTGACGAGCGAACGCTTTAACGACTAAGCTACTCCACCGCCTCTGGTAACTGGAAATATAGGTTTGAGAGGATAGCAAATGTTTGATGTTCTCCATTGGTGACGTTTGACCTTACCGGTATATACCACGTGACATATACGCGTGACGGTAGTCATACCACAGTGACAGGGCCTGTTACACATAATGAATACATTGAACTGTCCAAACAGTTTTGATTCAAAGTATGTGACATGCCTGACCACACGTTTCCCACGGATGGTAAGGGCTGCTCGTTCTTTAAAAGTCAAATCTCACTCGTTCTACCGATAATCCATCTACTCACTCACTCCCCGACTCACTCGCTCTACCAACCTTCACCACTCACACACTCGTCTAAAGCCCATCCATTCATTCAGTTACTTACCAATAAGTTTCCCACGCACTTCAGCGTGAACGGCGTGACCCCGCAACGTATCACCAGCTACGACAAGTACCTCAGCAGGACGGCTATGAGAAGAAAACCATCAGCTCTCCGGGAGCTCCAGAGTAAGTGTCACCCCACTCCCACCCCGTACCAGAACTGTTCCACAGTAATTATCCAGCAAACTGACGATGGACCGACCCGATAACCTTAGTAACCTCTGTATGAAGTCATGCATTCAGTACGATCAGCTTCCAATCTCTATATTCACTACAGCGCAACGTTGTGTAGTGAATAGCTGTCTAACACAATCTACTGTCTAGGTGTTTCATCGACTGCAAATTACTTACCACGACATTATAAATGGGAAAATCCACTTAATCAGTTGTATGTATTGTATACATTGTGTCAATGCACGATTTCTAAGGCTGTTCCATTTGGCGGATTCGTCAAACAATGACATGATATGAAAACCCGCGTCTTTCCGATTATGAAATATCATATGTTAGAAATAAATATTATACTTTGAATTAAATGATATATCTATTATACGCATTCAGCTGACTCTGATCCCTGTTTATGACAGAGTATGTTGGTTCTGATCTGGTGTTGATGGCCGGGGGGATGCCCAACGGTGAACTATTTCCTATTGTGGAGGCGGATCTCGTCCTCAGGTGAGGAACCAGTTTACGTAAGGCGCATAATACGGATTCGCTTGCATTATAGATTCCACTGACGTGCGTCTAACTATGTCGTTATAATGTTCAGCAAACACAGATATCTGCAATCCATTGCCGTCTGGTTTCTGGCTGCCGTTGCGCTGGGAAGCCATCATGACGTCTTTACGCCATCTATTCCGATCCATCTATACATATACATTTAGCTGATAGCTAGGGTCTCTCTTTTGGGATTCAATACCCGATAACGAAGAGTAAATCATATCGTATTTGAAATCTGGATTCAAACACTATTCAGATTAAATATACTTCCTATTAGGTTAGTGAGTTTTACGCTGCTTTTAGCAAATATGGAATATAAAAACGGTGACCCAATTATATAAAATATTGTTTGCAAAGAAACTAATGTGTTCCCTTACTGTTTTAGAATGTATATGTACAGTGGTCATGCATCCATTTTTGTTTTATATGTTTCAACACAGAGATGGTCGGCGGTTGACAATAAACCCTGACGAGATGAAGAAGGCGCTTCAGTACGGTGTTACTAAAGGGTGAGAAATTTCACTTGTGTTTTTAACGATTCCACTTGCTCCATCATTGTGTACAGACATCAGAAACGTGAAGGTCCCGGCAAACCGAAACATGAGTCTCATTAACCTATTCAGACAATGACCTATTTTTTCGGCGGATCCGAATTTTCTCGTGTGAAAGAGACACTACAAACAACTATGGTCACACTGAATTCCAATTCCTTGTTTCATAAGAAAATGGTACTTACAAGTTAATTTTAAACTTAAACTTTAATAACATCGAATTTCTATATTTCATGGCAAGGTGTAGGCAGCATGACTGCCCCTGTTTGATGAGGTCGTAAAATGATTCACAATTCATCTGGCTCACTGGTTACACCTGTTATGTGGTTGTTGCGTTTATTCAGTGTAGTTTTGTAACGCACAATGTGATTGACATAATATCAAGTTCGTAGCAGACCGCCAAACTTTTCTAGCGGCAGAGCCTCGTTTTGAGATTTCCACGATTCCGAGATTTCCGTTTGTCAGAGCACGCTGTACGACAGGGCACGCTGCACGACGTGTTTGCAAGGATTAGAAGGAGCGTAGTGTTGCAATATACACGTGGTTAGATGTATCAAATAATACTGATTGATATTTATGTATCCAGTTGAATGAATTGGTCTCAAATTTCTTGACTGGTTATTGTACTAAGTTGCGCAATAGGACGGAACCAAGTCAGCAGGAAACGAGACTGTTGTGTAATCAATGTTTTGACTTGTTAGAATTGATCTTCAGGAACCCATGCTTGTCGAAGGGCGACTAAAGGGATCGGGTGGTCAGGCACGCTGACTTGGTTGACACATGACATTGTATCCTATTGTGTAGATCGATGCTCATGCTGTTGATCACTGGGTTGTCTGGTCCAGACTCGATCAGACCGCCCACATATGAAATATTGCTGCGTGTGACATTAAACAACAAACAAACAGAAACAAAACAGAACAAAACAAGCTTCAATGCCTACGATGAAAAACGCCAAAATGTAGTATGCGGAGTTACGTCCCTTAGGTCCGCGGATTACCCTCCAGATTCGCCCTGGTGAACTTTCGTTTGTCAGCACCTGTCCTTGTGTCTTGGTTTGAGCAGAGTGGTACATGTCTCGGACCTGTATCACATCCCACTGTCCTCCCTCATCATGCTGACACGAAGTGATGTAACGGATGCTCTACATCCACGTCCACGTCCACGTCTACGTATATATAACTGAAATACACTAAACTACGTTTATAGTGACCACGCTTATAACGAACTGACAGATATTACGAACTGTATTTTTGTCCCGCCCATCTGCTATATATACTATTCACACTTTGCTGAGGATCAAATCATGGATTCAACAGAAAATTAGGATGTTGGGTCCAATTTGGTTTAATTATCAAACCTTATTGTAAGCATGGACCCTAGGTTTCAGTATGTCATTTCATCTTGTGGAACCCATACCTGCTATTGACAGGTGTTGTGTACTTGTCAATGAGTCGTTCCATGATTTGAAATTTGGTTTATAGGTGCCATGAAAACCATTATTATGGTTACTCGTGTATCACTGACTGACTGACTGAGTTTGGTTTTTCGCCGCTTTTAGCAATATTCCAGCAATATCACGGCGGGGGACACCAGAAATGGGCTTCACAAATTGTTCTCATGTGGGGTATCGAACCCGGGCCTTCGGTGTGACGAGCGAACGCTTTAACCGCTAGGCTACCCCACCGCCCTACTCATGTATCAAGTGCATAAGGTTAGATTAAAGTGAATGTTTGCCTAAAGCGGGGTTACCATATTATTATTTATCCAGTTTTGAATGGATACAATTTTAAATTATGAATCTACGTTTAAGTAAAGTAGTGAATATTTGTGATCCTTAGCAAAGTGCGAGTAGTATATTTCAGAAGAAATGCGTACAACGAACTGCGGTTATAACGAACTAAACCGTAGTTTACTGTACTGACTCAAAATTATGCTTATAATATTCCACATTGAGATACCGGAAGTTTATGGGCTTTCTGATATTATCTTTGCGATATATGTATTAGCATGGCAGACATCATCGATTGGTCGAGGGTGTTACAACGCCGTGTTCACCAGCCTCCGACCCTCCTTCGTGACCGCACCCCGCCGTCAGCCCCAAGCGACATGGACATCATCATGTGCAATGGCTGCCAGGAAGCCATTAGTAAGGTGAACATGCACACAACCACACATGCTCACACGTCCGCGTAAATACACATTACTGTGTAGATAATATGGCGTTCGTCGGAAATGACTGCTTTCCGAAACGATTCAAGTCGCCAGAGAATATTTTAGTTCAAAGGTTGCCTACAAGTCTGAGGTGCCAACTGTTTGTGTGCAAAAAGGCGTTTTGTTTCCGTTCTAGAAACCTATGATTATAGGTTCGAATCCCAGATGCTCCCGTATCAGGTTTAAAAGATTGTATAGAACCTTACACATATCAGTCCGTTTCACCATTATATAACAAAATAACTACTAGCATTTCACAAGTTCAGACCTAACTGGAAACGAATTCGGGGTTTAAAAACCCATATTTGATACAATAATTGTTTTCATATTCATGTCATTTTATGGAAAACTTCTGTATTCATAATCGTCTAATATTTTCCAGACTTTGGAAGCGGTTCTGAACGAAGGGGACGCAATCTTGCTTGAGGAAGCCACCTATCCAAACGTCATGAGCGTGGTGAGGCGTCAGTGTTATTGATAATAACTGTATCATCTTCGTCAGTACAGGGCATATTTAATGCTAAAGGTTCTCATGATCGTACATCTTGTATTGACTGTGTAGATAATTAAAACCTTCGTTCAGATGATAATTTCAACGCATTTAAAAAAAAGTATGCAACTGACAATTCAAGAGTGCAATTTCAAAGAGCACTGACGTAAAATGTTGGTCAATTTATAACATGAATTCCAATCTTTCTGAAGGGATATCCACTCGGTGCTAAAGCAGTATCGGTTCCTAGTGATTCATCAGGGATGATACCATCAGAACTGCGGAACATACTAGCGACATGGGATACGGACAAACGTGGACCGAGGCCGAAGATAATGTACTGTGTTCCGACTGGAGGTAACCCGACAGGCGCCAACTGGTCACTTGACCGGAAGAAGGCAGTATATAGTATTGCTCGCAAGTACGACTTCTTGATTCTAGAGGACGACCCGTACTACTACATTCAGTACAACAGGGTGAGCAGCTACGTGGCTTAAACCTGTGTTGGAATATGATTATATGTAGCTGATTGTGTCCAGGGTCCCCTTACACAAAGCGATCGTAGCAAAGGTGATTTACGACAGTCCTAACGCTAAGGTCGCTTTGTTGAACTGGGTCCTAATTCAAATTTATTTGTGTCAAGGTTCAGATTTGGTTGTGTCCGAATTGTTGGTTGAAGGTATCCAGGTCCAAATATCCATTTGATTATTTTGGTGGGTTTTTTAGGATAAAATGTGTCCCGGTAGATTTTGTGTTGATTCACTTAGCGATTCACTTACTAGCTACTAGCGGGTAAACATCCGGTGATTGATATCATGAGCCTTCTCCCCGAGCCCAACAACGCCAGTCCACCAGTTACCAATATTGGACGCATGCAACAAGAGACGCAACTATTCGTAAGGCATGGGAGCCAGCGTTCGAAATAATCGCCGGCCGAGAGGCCCAGCGCCGGTTGTCATTGTATCGGGCTGGCAGTTTCAAATATTTGCAGGCCCTTGTGGCCTTCAGTAAATTATCTGTCATTTTTTCAACAGGAATTTGATGTCATTCCATATTTCCAGTGTTGTACTGGATATAATGACAGAACTAAACTGTGAAACTGTGTACCGTGTAGTCTATTTTGTTTTCATTGGTTTGACTTTAACAAAATGGGCCTGCAGATTTCATTCAGGGCTTGTAGATTTTAAAGCCAGCAGGCCCTGATGGCCAACTGGCAGATGAAAGCACTGCAAACACTGATTGGATCTCTGATGCGTGATACTTGATGACACGGAACACATTTAACAATTATGATTTTTCGATTCAGCCGCTGACGCCCAGTTTCCTATCCTTGGATGAAGACGGCCGAGTCATCAGATGCGATTCATTTTCTAAACTAATAGCAGCTGGGTAAGCCCAGACGGAGCTAACCCGTCTAAATGGTCTGATTGCTAGAAAGTTGGTGGTTCAGTTAGAAATTCAGCATTGTGAAAACAAACCAAACATTTCTTAGTGATTGCTGTATTTGTATTAAGCAAGAGCAAAACAGAGCCCATAGAGCTTAAACGGTAAAATACTGATATATACTGTATCATAATGAATTGATCATTTTAACGTTATGTCTGTGTCATATCTATATGTTCCACTGTGTGTTCATCAGAGCACGGCTTGGCTTCATCAGTGGGCCACAGCACTTCCTCCAGAAACTTGTCCTCCATCTGGACTGTTCAGTGGCGTGCACCAACAACCTGTCTCAGGTAAGTCACCTAACACCTTCACCATCAACCTGACACAGATGTGTCACGTAACACCCTAACCAACAACCTTGCTCGGGTGTGTCACTTAAAACATGCACCAACAACCTTGAACAGGTATGTCACCTAACACCTTCACCAACAACCTGACAAAGGTATGTCATCTAGCACCTTCACTAAAAACCTGACACACGTATGTCACCTAACACCTTCGCCAACAACCTGATACAGGTATATCACCTAACACCTTCACTATCAACCTGACACATGTAAGTCACCTAACACTTTCACCAAATACCTGACACAGGTATGTCACCTAACACCTTCACCAACAATCTGACACAGGTATGTCACCTAACACCTTCACCATCAACCTGACATAGGTATGTCACCTAACACCTTCACCAACAACGTGACACAGGTATGTCACCTAAAACCTTCACCAACAACCTGACACAGGTATGTCACCTACCACCTTCACCCTGACATAAGTATGTCACCTAACACCTTCACCATCAACCTGACACAGGTATGTCACCTAACACTTTCGTCCTCAACCTGACACAGGTATGTCACCTAACACCTTCACCATCAACCTGACACAGGTATGTCACCTAACACCTTCACCATCAACCTGACACAGGTATGTCACCTAACACCTTCGCCAGCAAACTTGGACAGGTATGTGACTTAAAACAAGCAACCCCAGCTGTCACAGGCATGTCACCTAAAACACGCATCATCAATCGTGCTAGGTGTTTCACTTAAAACATGCACCGACAACCTGTCACAGGTATGTCACCTAAACCATGCACCAACAAGCTTGCCCAGGTATGTCACTTAAAATCCAGTTGTTTTGCGTTGCTGAGTCACATGTTTGGGATCTTGAGCCAGCTGTCCATGTCGCTACGTCAGCTCTTCATGTTGTAGACAGTCATCAGGAAGATATTGGAGGACATGGGACATGACGGCTTCCTGCGACACGGGGAGAAACTGGCGGCCTTCTACAAGGACAGGGCGGACAAGATGGTCGCCATTGCCGAGAAACGCCTCGAAGGTGGGCTCTGATGATTTCCCCTTTCTTGTCGAGGAAATCTCTGTAATGCACAGGAAAGAATATTAGGCAAAAATAAGGCTGTAAATAACGTATGAGATATTGGCAGTTCAGTTTACGTCGGCTAATGAGTTGCTTAAATACCATTTGTTCTTTGAAGTTTCACCAACCTGAGCATTACGTTAAATGTCATTGGTTAGTTTTGCTTATAACCATCTACGGTGTATTTTGAATAACATTCTGTATGTAAGGTTATGTCCACCTGACAATGTATGTAGCTAAACTTGCGAATGGCCACTGGTATTTAACGTTTATACTCCCGTTGCCCTAAACGTTAAAAAAACATTAATAATGTTAGCTATATATATATATATAAGTACAACCAGAAATTATTGAGAATTTAAGATTGTAATTGTTTATATTTTTTTCACTCATTACTCACGTATTAAATGTGAATATTAGCAGAACATTACTCCAGATTCAAAGACAGGTGAACAGTTAGTATTTTGTCAAGTCACCATGGGCAGCAATGCAGGCTTCAATGCGGCGGGGCGTACTACTGATCAAAGAAGTTAGAAAGTCGTGGTCCATGCTGTCCCAATATCGGACCACCTCTTCTTTCATTTCAGCAATATTTGTCAGATTGTTCTTATTGACACTTTCCTTCATAAGTCCCGAAACATTTTCTATTGGATTTAGGTCAGGTTTATAGCTTGGCCAATCTAATAATGTCCTATTTTGGGTCCGATACCAGGCCTGTGAATGCTTTGAACGATGTTTTTGTGTCGTTGTCCTGCTGGAAAATCCAAAACTGTACATAGAACACGTGAGCAGATGGAAGTAAATGTCCCTCGAGAATATCTGTGTACCGCTCACTGTTCATATTCCCTTCAAATACACGTCACGATATGGCTGAAATATTGCCGATGTGACGTTAAATCTTAACTCACTCACTCACTCACCCTTCAAATACACAGAGGGGCGTTGACCCTAACACAGATATGCCACCCCACACGTTAAATTTCGGACTGTACTTTGGGCGCCGATACAAAGGTTTTTCAGTTTGTTTGGTCCAGAATTTCAGTGTATTAGGAAACAGCCACACAGAACTTCATCTGAGAAAATCACATTGTCCCAGTTAAAATTTCTATGCTGTAAGCATCAGTTCAACCTTCGCTCCTTTTGTTCAGGTTTCATGATCGGTGATGGAATTCCTCGACTTTTCTGCCAACCCATTGCATGCAGCTCAGTTTTAATTGTCTCCTTACAGACAGCCACAGTTCCTCTATCAATCATATCCAGCCTTAAGTTTTCTAAATTCCTTCGTTTGTTTTTAGAGACAAGAATACCAATTTTCTTGGCCTACCTGCGCCTCCCTGGTGCTCAATACCATATCCATTTGCAATATTTTTCAAAACACGATAAACAGTGGACAAAGGGATGCCTGTTCTACTTGAAATCACTTTAGCTGATCTGATGTCCTTGTTATAATACTCTAAAATCAACTTCCTCTTCTCTAAATCATCCATACTGAGGATCACTGAAAATGTCGTCTGCTAGCAAGTAAACAAAGGGGGACAACTCTTCACAAACTAACGAAAAAGGATTAACGGAGTTGTCTCTCTTGAATGAAACCAAGCACTTGATAGCTGGTCAAGGTTGTTTATACTAGAAATTCAATTAAACATATTCCTAAAATTCTCAATAATTTCTGGTCATACTATATCCAAGTGAGACATAACATTGAATATTATACCATATTCCGGGTCATATCAACGTTTTTGTAATAATTGTGAAAACATCTTGAACAATCTATGCATCCATAGTTGACTAGATACCACACTTCATATGTACGGAAGGAATATCAAAACATTCGATCATAACGCCTTTCTTGTATAAATAATCTTTCAACTATAACATTTTGGGACTAGGTCTGGCAGAGTGGTCTCCCCCTGACGGCGGGATGTTCATGTGGATTAAACTGTTGGGGGTGAAAAGCTCCGAGCCTGTTGTCCAAAGAGTCATCGAGAAGGGAGCAGTACTGGTTAACGGGTTTCACTTCCTGGCTCAACCAAGGGAGACGCCCTACATTCGTGTATCTTTCTCCTATGCATCAGAAAAAGATATGAACAAGGTAAATGGAGATTTATTTCTTAAGAAGGTGATTTATCCTTCAGTGACATATTTCAGTGTTACTGAAGGGTAGGTGATTGGGGGATTTGCTTGTCAGATACTGATGACTGGACGTCAAAGAGAACTTGGCACATATTTCAATCGGTAGGGGTATTTCTGTGTATGCGTAGCGTGAGTGTGTGAGTGAGTTTAGTTTTAGGCCGCTTTTAGCAATATTCCAGCAAAATCACGGAGGGGGACAACAGAAATGGGCTTCACACATTATACCCATGTGGGGAATCGAATCCGGGTCTTCGGCGTGACGAGCGTACGCTTTAACCACTAGCCCCGTGTACGCGTAGATATGTTGCTGGATGTGACATATAGAGTCATCCTGATTATATTTACAGTGTTGTAAGCTCCGGTAATCATCTAAGAGCTGCATCTCTCCGTGATACATTGTATAGCCGAACCACTGCTTCTTTGTAGCCTCCCTTAGTTGTTTTAGGATTCGCTGACCACCGGTTCAAATCCCGGAACGATTCCTACAATGACACTTACCGGTAAAGATCTGCGTTAATTTAGGTTCTCAAGCATTAATCTTTCACGTATTGATAACCGAAATACTGCCTACATATATGTTTACTTAGAGTCACCTGCTCAATCAAGACATCTTCCTCCTCGTTGTAGGCATTCACCTGGCTTGCGGAGGCACTGAATGAATTCCACGACGATCAAAGGAAGAAATGAAAGTGGCTTGACAAACACTATAATCATCATCTAATATAACAACTGCTTTGATTGATCGTTGGCCATTTGCAACATTGTTGTCTTCATAAAAAAAAAGAAACGTCCAAGATAGCGGCAAGACGTTGTACAGAGTTGCGTGGTTTAAGCGTGACGGGATCCTAAAATTGTGTATCCGAATCCTGGACACGCATTAATTATGACTCTTGGTTTGTCACGAAACTTCAGTTATCCGCAAACGTCTAATATCTGTACCGCTGCAGAATTGTGTCCCGCATAAATCTCACATATTATACATGTATTGTATGATCGGCAAGCCAGAGGTTGGTGAGAGAACTGAATTTGATGACTGGAGAACCTTTGATAGTAGTCTGAGAGAACTGATTTACTCTCTGCTTTGGCTGTTGAAGTTTTATGTTCTTTAATGTTGGTACCTACGGAGCGGAAGGTTTTACCAGTGCTTCCCCATCGACAATCCTCGCCAACAAACAGGAAAACTAACGGAAGCCATAGAAATCCGCCGACACAAACTTTTGACCAAAGAAGATAAAAAAATACGAGACAATATGGACATTTGAAAAGTAAATCAACCCATAGATTCAGTAAAAACCAACTCCTCTACCTGTATCCAGTCAACTTGTTTGCATTTCATCCCTACTGTAATCTGCCTTCAGATCTGTCCCTGTTTGTTCAAACTCTCCACCTGGCCTCTTTCAGTTATGTACCACAATGACCTGTTCTTATCAATGTTGATCTCCTGCCTGTCAATACGTATCATGCATATAGTCCTCCCATCACTGGGTTGTACCTACTTTAGCTTTATAACGATGTTAGTGTCGCAGCATTCAATAAACAAGAGGTTGTCGTGCATAAAGTTGTATGCTTGGTTTTGTTACGCATTTACCTGAAATACTCTTCAAAGCGTTGTAATTCACAACAATTCTACTTTCTTCTTGAAAGGTGAGGTGAAATGGGGTTTAACGTCGCACTTAAGAATATTTCGCTCATGTGACGACGTGCATGCGCGTGTATGTGTGGCTGCTTGTACTAGCCCAGACTTAATCTGGTTTTAGAGCGCTAGCTCACTGAGACACATTGCCTCAGTGAAGCATGAATACCCGACTCAGACGCATTATACTGACTCGGAGCCGACCAGTCCTTGCTGTATCCATAATGCCGAGTGCCAGACAGGGACCAACAAGTACCATATTTTAACGTCTTTTGGTATGACGCTCTCCGGGTGGACGTTCTAACCACTACACCACGGATGCGGGCTCCTTGAAAGAAGTAGTCACAATACTTGATTACTACCCAACTATTCCTAACTGAATGGAAGTAATTATAACGGTAATGTTAAATCATTAAGTTGCTTGAAACTACAAGGAAACCCATGAACATCTACGGTTGAAACATTTGGACCCTCGATAACGGGACCTACAACTGGGTGCGAGATATGAACATATATCTATATCTGTACACTATCCGCAGACACAATGTCATAAATTCATCATTTTACAAAACGTGGCAAGGACTGAACCCTACGCCTCAGCGTTTAGTAAAGTGAGGAATTTATGAACTTGTGTCTGCGGACAGTGTAAAAACAATAAAACGAGTTCAAGATAAAGGCCCGTCTATGATTTTAGCCTCTAAAATAAAGTTCAAGAATTTTTCAAAGACTTATAAACAGTAAAATCCGAATATTTGACAGCGAAAGTGACACCGAAGGTTGTACTGATACTCGTACCAGAATGGAACACGTTAGCGTAGGCATTGATGAAGGTCGTATGCTTGTAGAATATATCGCAAAATTAAGAAGACAAAGGGGAGGAATAATGTCTTCATTTACTTAGCGCTATTTATATTTATATAGCGTTAGTTCAACATCACTGGGAGGTGAAGTGAGGTGAAAGTGGGTTTTACGTCGTGCTTGAGAATATTTCACTCATATGACGACGTGCATGCGTGTGTATGTGTATGTGTGGCGGCTTGTACTAGCCCAGACTGAAGCTGGTTTTGTAGTGCTACCCCACTGAGATACCATGCCGCAGTGAAGCATGGATACCCCACTCAGACACATTATACTGACTCAAGCATGGATACCCCACTCAGACACATTATACTGACTCCGAGCCAGACCAGACCCATTAATGCCGAGCGCCAGGCAGGTACCAACAAGTACCATATTTTAACGTCTTTTGGTATGACGCGGTCGGGGATCGAAACCGCGACCTTCCGCTCTCCAGGCGGACGCTCTAACCACTACACCACGGAGGCGGTCACATCACTGGGAACATGTTTAAAGCTCATCATAGCATATATACATATTTACAGAAAACAGACAACAGTAAAGACGATTAGTGGTAGCGTCGGAAGAGGTATGGGTTTTTTTACAGATTAAAACACAGATAGCGTAGAACTTTGCGCTCTTGAGGTTAAATGTGAGTTCCATGATGAAGCAGCTGCATGGGAGAAGGATCGATTTCCGAAAGATTTCAGTTAATATTCTGGTACAAGAGCAGTGGGTCAGTTGATCAAAGATTTCTAGACTGCTTGCAGTGGACAAACATCTCCAGAAGATGGGCAGGGACGGTTTTGCGAAGAGACTGGTAGACTAAAGAAAGTCAATCCTCTCGCGGATTCTCAGCCAATGCAGTGACTTTAGGGTGGGGGAGATATGAGTATGAAGCTTAGACCTGGTTATGATATGGGCACCTCTGTTCTGTATCATCTACAGTCTGTTCAGCTCACCCTCTGATATTCTCACGAGCATAGGCGGTTACAGTAATCCAGACGAGACAGGAACAGTGATCTGACCAGATAGGCTGCAATTTCAACTGTAAGAGGGCGGTGGGGTAGCCTAGTGGTTAAAGCGTTGGCTCGTCACGCCGAAGACCCGGGTTCGAATCCCCACATGGGTACATTGTGTGAAGCCCATTTCTGGTGTCCCCCGCCGTGATGTTGCTGGAATATTGCTAAAAGCGGCGTAAAACCAAACTCAGTCAGTCAGTCAACTGTAAGACGGTGACGGATTGATCCTTTCTCAACTGAAAATGACATCTTTTGCAAAGATAGTCTACTTGCTTTTTTACAGTAAAAGAAGCGTCAATAAACACACCAAGTTTTTTTACATGGGCCGAGAAAGGAATCAGAGACAGTCTAATTTCAAGGTGTGTTAGCCGGGATTTTTTCTGTCTAGAAGGTGGTACGATGATAATGGCCTCTGCCTTTTCATCATTTAATTGAAGCATGTTGGTTGACATCCAGGATTTGACATTGTTAAGACAGCTTTCCGTGTTATTCAGAGAAGCCATCTGATTTGGTATAATGGGTTTAAAACTGTCAACCAGTGCAAAAGTGATGAGCCACACGCTCCTCTGATGTCAAGTGTCCCAGTGGTCTTGTGTACATGGTGAATAAGATCGTACCCAGCTCAGACCCTTGAGGGACGCCACAAGTCAAGCTTTGTTAATCTTGACAAACTGCTTCCTATCTGTAAGTTATGACAAACACCGTTCCAGGACAGTGCTGTCCAAGCCATAGTCATTTTCTAAACGACTCAACAAACTTGCGCTGTTGATAGTATCAAATAAATCAATAAACATTGCAGTGGCGTCGAGGTTTAAGAATGGAGATTAGCAACTAACAAATAATTGCAATCAAATTATACATGTCTAAGCTCCACAATAGATGACCTTTGGAATTATATATGCATCTGGCAATGACTGTCGTGAATTAGTGCTCTGACACACGGTCTGACACATCGGTTCCCAATTGCGCTGATCGATGCTCATGCTGTTGATCACTGGTTTGTCTGGTTCAGACTCGATTATTTACAGACCGCCGCCATGTAGTTGGAATATTGCTGAGTGCGGCGTAAAACCAGACTTACTCACTCACTCAGATATATGTTAATGGCTCCCTACAAATCACATACAAGCACATGGGAAGTCCCTGGTGTTACATGAACGTAACTATCCTTTGTCTTCACAGCAATGTGGATTCGTACCTTGTTTATTTATTTATTAAGTTTCTGGAGGTGGTTTGCCATGTACACACTGAAAACTATACAATGTATGTCACAATTAAAACACTTTGGAAATATTTAGGTGTTTTTCGTATAATATGATTCCTAAGTACCGTGACGTGTGTGTGTGTGTGTGTGTGTGTGTGTGTGTGTAATCAGTACTTGTTATGACATACATACAGTGCAATAAGCGCTGGAGATGTGCTCCTTCATATACTGACCTTCCAAATATGTGACTAAGGTATATTTTTAGAAGAATTATACGGTACAAACATACCCTGTCACGTCCAGCTACCTACTTATGGAGTGATTGTTCCGTATATTATGAGAAGACATACACCTGCATTTTTTCGGCCACACTGTACCAGTTGTTTGACGTTTGTCACGCGTTTAGCCCCGACAATATTCATCCTCTGTACATTACATCGCTTGATATTCCATATAATATAACTCTTTCTGAACGACTTTCGCTCGCCATACCGAAGACCCGGGTTCGATTCCCCACATGGGTACAATGTGTGAAGCCCATTTCTGGTGTCCTCCGCCGTGATGTTGCTCGAATATTGCTAAAAGCGGCGTAAAACCTTACTCACTCAAGGAGATGTCGCAATAGCTGTAAGTGTGGCATATATGGCTGCTTATGCGAACTTTCAAACAAGCGTCACGCGCGAAACGAATCGTTAACCTTGGAGAAATTCCTCTCCACGTCAATGAATTACATGTACATGTACTCCAAATATGTGCTAAACTAACAGCCTATCCAACACGGCGCTCTCTAAGGACCGAGACTCAACGCGCATGCTCCTGTGAATCCTTTGAAAATGTCAGAGTAAGTTGCTTACTTTATTTTATTTTTTTATCAAATAGGGTTAATGGAGGAGTGAATGTGAGATACTCCGAAGACTGTGACCATGTGCTACGTATGATACAGTGCAGAAATGTTCGTCTTCATTGGGTGTTGTCTGACAAAACGGCCGCCAGTGTTCAAGTTGTGTCACAGAGCACTGTATCTCACGGCCGGAGGAAACCTGTAAGTTGACGCATAGTGAACGGCCAAGCCATGGTTGTTCGATTATGTTTAAAGTTTCTTTTGTCGCCTCATTCTCAGAGCCTGCCCATCCGATTAGAATTTAGTCCGCACTTTCGCAAACCTAAAATGGTGTGACACGCTGAATCAGACTCGGGGCGGTGGGGTAGCCTAGTGGTTAAAGCTTTCGCTCGTCACGCCGAAAATCCGGTTTGATTCCCCACATGGGTACAATGTGTGAAGCCCATTTCTGGTGTCCCCCGCCGCCATACTCACTGACTCTGACTCCCCAGAAGAATCTCTCCAGCCCTTACCCCATACATACAACAACAGTACTATACTCAAGTATGGAATCCGAGAAGGGACATTGTCGCGGTGTCGCATTGTCGCGTTCTCGCCCTCTCACAAAGCAAGCAAAATGAGGCAAAATTAACCAAAGCGCGACAATGCGACAACGCGACATTTCGCCCATTTGTCGAATTGTCGCGATGTTGCATGTCGCGTTTTAAATAACATTTTTCTATTCCTCCAAAGGGCGACAATGAGACATAGCGAAAGGTCAAAATATTTCGCGTTGTCGCATTGTCGCCCTATTTAAGATGTGTACAGAAAAGCCTAAAAATTGACTAAAACGCGACATGCGACATCGCGACAAATGCGACAAATGGCCGAAATGTCGCGTTGTCGCATTGTCGCGCTTTGTTTAATTTTGCCTCCGCTAGCTTGTATTCGAGAGGGCGACAATGCGACAGCGCGACTATGTCCCTTCCTGGATTCCTTACTCAAGTACTTTCAAATCAAAATATGAATGTCATGACAAAAATGACTATGAATGGACATTGTATAACAGTATATAGTTTTCAGTCTTCTATGTTGCTGATGTTTTTCAGGGCAAACCACCGTATAAGCAACTATGAAAACTACTTCAACAAAGCAGCGAAACGAACAAGAGCACCGGTTCTCCGAAGTCTTCAGAGTAGGTCATCAGATAAAGTCTAAGAATACCATTTAGAATTGATACACATAACGGGGCGGTGGGGTAGCATAGTGGTTAACGCGTTCGCTCGTCACGCCAAAGACCCGGGTTCGATTCCCCACATGGTACAATGTGTGAGGCCGTGATATTGCTGGAATATTGCTAAAAGCGGCGTAAAACTAAATTTACTCACTCACTCACTGATACACATAACAGGTTAGGATTCACGGATGTCGTGTTCCTTCTTTATTATGAGGAACACGATGTTTCAGGTATATTCTTAATCTTTTATTATTCACTTGATTCGTGTTCCTTATAATAAAAAAGTTAACATCCATAAATTCGTACCTTTAGGTCTTCACATGTACTTTATCGTTCGTGGCCACTCGTGGTTTTCGTGATTAGCCCTCCTTCTCACGACCATTTTACGACTAGATTCCATATGCAGTGAAGACGCAATCTGTCCAACGTGAACCTGATTACATCTCTGGCTATATTTGATAGAATACATGGCAACCGATCTGGTGTACCTGGCTGGAGGTATTCCCAACTCCGACACGTTCCCTATTGCAGCCGCTCAGCTGCGCCTAAAGTGGGTATGAGTTACAGGTTACTACCTGCCACATTTCCTGTAAAACCAAAATAGTAACAATATGTCCCGTGCATTGATATTGCCCTTAGTGGCATGTATGCGGGAGAATATAACTTGAAGGTTTTACTTTTTGTAACGTTTTTTTATTATCAAGTCTACCATACGCCAATGGTATGTGCCCTCTTCGTGTGTTATATATCATACGTGTATGGAGACAAGGGTATTATTTTCTTGACGAAAAACAACCGAACAAAACATACATTGTCTCAGTCATGACAATGTTAAATGAGACACACATTTTGTAAACCCGTGAAGATCCGCGTTAGAATTGATCTTCAGTAACCCGTGCTTGTCGTAAGAGGCGACTAACGGGATCGGCTGGTCAGGCTCGCTGACTTGGTTGACATATGTCATCGTATCCCAATTGCGTAGATCGATGCTCATGTTGTTGATCACTGCATTGTCTGGTCCAGACTCGATTTTTTACAGACCGCCGCCATATAGCTGGAATATTGCTGAGTGCAGCGTAAAACTAAACTCACTCACTCACATTTTGTAAGTGGACATTCTAAAACAGAGGACAATGAATGAACTTATTGAGTGATGATAATCGTTCAATATTCAGATCTCAAATGTGTAATTTGTTCAGGAAATATTAAAACCTGCCTTTGAATTGTACCTATATTTTAGGCCATCAGATGCAGTCTTAACGAGGCGAGTAAGCGCGTTATTCGTTAAGCTTTCTAAGCTCCTACTCTTTGAATGGATTTCTTGCTGCAATAGCACACAAATTCAGCAAGTCTGTCACTACTTTCCTCAGTTATTTTTCTTGTCACATTGATGCTTTTTTATATTGTGTCACTGTGCTTTATGTGTTAATAATCATTGAAGAATGGGTCCGCGCAAGCCTGTTTCTGAACTAACTGTCAATATCTGCGTTACCTTCAGAGATGGTCAGACAGTACACATAGATGAAGCTGACATGAAAGTTGCTCTTCAGTACGGGGCAACCAGGGGGTAAGTATATCGAATTAGAAGTCATTAATATATATAGGAGATACATCAGTCATGGTATGTGTGTATGTTGGGAAGTAACCGGCTTCTTCGATGGGGCGGATAAACTCTTGTATCACTAAATGCACTTAGATCAAAGTAACATTTAGTATAGCTACAGTTCAACAGAACCCTTATTTTTGCCAACAATCCATAGGTTTTTGTAAGGGTACTTAATGTTTTCTCCTAAAGGCTAACCTACCATTGTTAGACAAGATCCACGAATAGAATGAAATAAACAGTGTGTCGTTTCATATGAAATCCTGGAAGGGACATTGTCGCATTTACGCATTGTCGCGTTGTCGCCCTCTCAAATACAAGCAAAATTAACCAAAACGCGACACGCGACATCGCGACAACGCGATATTTCGCCCATTTGTCGCATTGTCGCGATGTCGCGTGTAGCGTTTTGGTTTATTTTGCCTCACTGAACTTGTTTTTGAGAGGGCGACAATGCGACATAGCGACAATGTCCCTTCTCGGATTCCATAGTTTCATGAATTAAACACTTCCTGTATTTTATCAGAAGTGTAGATTGCTTCAAGCTTCGTTGTATCTTCATTTCCGGGGCGGTGGGGTAGCCTTGTGGTTAAAGCGTTCGCTCGACACGGCGAAAACCCGGGTTCGATTGCCCACATGGGTACAATGTGTGAAGCCCTTATCTGGTGCCCTCCGCCGTGATGTTGCTGGAATATTGCTGGAATATTGCTAAGAGCGGCGTAAAAGCATACTCTGTCAGTGTAGCTTCCTTTCCGATTTTTCCCTCTGTAAAGCTAACATCATTTGATTCCGCAACCTCTGCACATCGATCATAGGACAGAATAAACAATGTCTTGAGTTTTAGAGCTTATGGATGCTGCACATATTTATAAAAAAGTAGTGGAGTATTTAGTCAAACAGTTCAATGTTCATCCTACAGTGGAGCATGCTCATGGATATTGAACAACTCATTCTCTTGCCCTAATAGTCACAGATGTTTCATTTCACATCTGTTACTAGCTTTTGTAAAGTTTTGTAACGGTAACGGTGAACTCAGCACCTATTAGGGACCGTTCATAATTTATGGAGGGGTGGGGAGTTGGGGTGGGGAAAATGATGATTCTTTAATGGAGAAGCATGTACAATGTGAATGACACCCCCTAAAATTTATGTAAGTGACCCCGCCCTGCATGGCATGTACAAAATCAAAGAGCACCCCCCTCCATAATGTTTTAGCATATTTTTAAATATCCCTTATGAACAAAATTGCTGCAATCCACCCCACCCCACCCCACCCCCACCGCCTCCCAAGAACAAAATTGGTGCCCCCTTAAAATCATCATCAGCCTCCTTAGTCATAAATTATGAACGGTCCCTTATGTTTCTTACTTCGTTCGTACATGTGTTTATTTGTAGGAAGCTGCAGCTTCGTGAATGGCTGACAGAGTTGCAGCGACGTCTTCATGATCCCCCTACCCTCCCTCCACCCGGCGTCTCCCCCTCAGCAAACAGCGACATGATCACCATCACGGCTAACGGCTGTACGGAGGCTTTTAGCAAGGTTGGCGGAAACCCCTACAAGTTCGGCAGACAATGAAAACAATCTAAAAAATTTAGAGATTACAATATTGTTGTAATTTTCACTCATAGCCTGCTGCAAATCCGAATTCCCTGGGAGAGCCAATGCAAACTATGCAACGAGATCTACTGTAGTTCTGATGTTATATAAAAGATGTTATCTAGAAATAGATCCACGATACACGCCATAATGTTTGATGGAAGTACTGTGACCCCGTGAAGGTCCGGGTTGGAATGAATCTTCAGTAACCCATGCTTGTCGTAAGAGGCGACTAACGGGATCGGGTGGTCAAGGTCGCTGACTTGGTTGAAACATGTCATCTGTTCCCAATTGCGCTGATCGATGCTCATGCTGTTGATCACTGGATTGTCTGGTCCAGACTCGATTATGTACAGACCGCTGCCATATAGCTGGAATATTGCTGAGTGCGGCGTAAAACTAAACTCACTCACTCACTGGAAGTACTGTGAACACCATGTACTGAAATTACACAGATCCTGGGAATGGTGTTGGAGGAAGGGGACTCGCTGCTGGCCGAGGAGTCCACATATCCTTCGGTTTTCAATGTGGTAAGATGTTATTATTTAATTATGAGCATTCAGATGGAGTTTGAAGGATCATGGTTGCATTTCAACTTGTTTCAAATCATTGTCATGCGCGTAGCTCCCATATTATTCAAAGAAGCCCGGACTTACACATGATTTTTGCTGAAACATTTTGTTTCTATATCTCGCCAAAAATACCTACAAACACGTTATCAGAACCATTTAAAAATGGAAATCCCTCTATGAATCATATTGACTAGAATATCCTTTGAAAACAAAGCATTACCAATACAGTCACCATGTACAGTAAACATGTTATTCTACATAATTTGAAGGGCGTCTTTCTTTCAGTGATGATTGATTGTTTTTTCATCGACGTGTATGTGAATGACGCCAAGCCCTCAATACTATCTAAATACAAAGCATTGCAACCTATCGGGCTTACACGAAAAAATTGGCTTGCTACGCGCCTGATTGTTCTTGGTCAACCAGCATATATACACTGTTGCGTTATGTATTTGTAACGTCTCAACGATCCACATCACTTTCCACAAAGAACATCATGAAATGCGATTACTGAAATGCTGTTCATGCTATATGACAGACAGACATACAGACAGGTTTATTTCATAGATGTGGCCATGAGGCCAATAGTACAAAATGACAACTTAGATTAAATTTTTACATAGCGCATGGACATGATTTTGTTTACAAAAATTGCTAGTACATGTCTTTACAACGTTGTTTGAAAAGATTTAAAAACAAGTCCCAGTTTCCAACATTTTGATATATCCATGCATAAGCGAATCCATGTTGATATAATAGTGATCATACTGCCGAAGCCCAGTTAATATGTCCATTGTCGTCTAAACGTTTCAACATATCATACGAGCGACGTGGGTAACGTGTCTGGTTGCCGAAGCAGACGTATCCAGAACGAAACAACTCGTGTAATATAATTTACATGTAAAGGGTATCTCCCATATTCTGATAAAACTGCCTTGTTCGGTGTGCGATAGCCAACGTTTAGAACGTTTTTACAAAGTTTTGAATGTACTTTTTCTATTCCATGGCGGATAACAGTTCCCCAAATTTCTGCTTCATATAATAATATAGGTTGGATCATGAATCACTATTAAATAGTAATAACACCAGGTGTTCAAGGTGATGCACGCAAAAGGGCATGTAGACCAACGTTGAATTTTACTCTTTTTGTCTCAATCAGACTCACTTTGGTAGGAAAACACAGGGAAGTAACTCTTCTCAACTACACTATGCTTGAGCGAAAACTTTTAAAGTAAAATTGTTACAGTTGACCCGTGATACAATTGACCCCAGTCTCCCCTACATGTCATGGTTTTGAATTGCCTAACTTATTTTCTCCTCATATCCTTTTTATAAAATAGACTGAGCCACTGGGTTGCAAGCCAGCGATTGTCAAGAACGACGCAGATGGCTTGATACCCTCGGATCTTAGTAACGTCCTGTGTTCCTGGAACGAGGCTGCATCCGGGCCTCGGCCAAAGCTGCTATACTGTGTTCCGAATGGTGCAAATCCGACAGGCGCCAACCTGAGTTTGGAGAGGAGGAAGGAAATTTATGCTTTGGCGAGAAAATATGACCTATTAATCATCGAGGACGACCCGTACCATATGATTCAGTATTCCAGGGTAAACAAATATAGGGTTGGGATCGTATCCAGTAAAACATTGTGTTCAGTCAAACTGGCATCTAGTCATAGCGACAAAGGTAGTCGCGATTGGCATTACCGAGTTGCGTCCCTTTGGAAAGCGGAAACCCTGTGACATGGGTTTGAAACCCGGTTCGTCTTGATAAATTGTCTAGGCCTGTCAGCACGATAAGTGTGTTCGTAGGTTTCCCAGAGCTGTAAAAGTAAATAAATGCATAACTTCTTTCTCCGTTATGTAACAGTACTATTCAAAGAGCCGGCAAACCCATCTAACGTTTTAGCCCAAGGACAAACCTGGGCCCCGTTCCACAAAACGATCGCAGCGCTAATATGATCGTAGCTACCATACTTTAACATTGACCTACGACTGTCGAAGTGCTAGAATCGCTTTGAGGAACGGGGCCCTGGATCATAATCAGTAGTGGTAACTCGTATCGAATTATTCCTATGAGGTGAAGTGAGGTGAAACTGGGTTTTACGTCGTGCTTGAGAATATTTCGCTCAGATGACGACGTGCATGCGTGTGTATGTGTATGTGCGGCTGCTTGTACTAGCCCAGACTGAAGCTGGTTTTGTAGTGCTACCCCACTGAGATACCATGCCGCAGTGAAGCATGAATACCCCACTCAGACACATTATACTGACTCCGAGCCGACCAGTCCTTGTACCCATTAATGCCGAGCGCCAGGCAGAGACCAACAAGTACCACATTTTAACCTCTGTGGTATGACGCGGTCGGGGATCGAACCCGCGACCTTCCGCTCTCCGGGCGGACGCTCTAACCACTACACCACGGAGGCGGTCTATTCCTATGATGCAGTAGAGACACGTTCTCAATATTTCATTAGGTATGTAACGGGCTGATCTGAAATGGCAATCAAACTTCTTTCAGCCCCTATTACCCAGTTTGCTGTCAATGGACGTGGATGGGCGTGTTCTCAGGTGTGATACTGTCTCCAAAATCATGTCTGCCGGGTAAGATAATGTCTGACGTTTTCAGTTGGTTTCGAGAAAGCTTTCTACTTATATTTCATTGATATTATTGTTGGGTTTCAATAGTAGAAAAGGTCATGCGTGCCCAATGATTCAAGACGCGGTTAAATGAGTGATTGGTTTTCGTTTAACGCTGCAATCGGCAATATGCAAGCTGTGTATATGGCGGCGGTCTGTAAATGATCCAGTTCGGACCAGCCAACCCATTGATCAACGTCATGAGCATCGATCTACACAATTGGGAAACGATTACATGTGTCAGCCAAGTCAGCGAGCCTGACCACTAAATTAACCTAAGAAGTATGCGTTGGTAGGTAGCCGAAGAAATCTTTACTTCCTATTTTTTTAAATAACAATGGCTAGGTTAGACTTAATGTTAGTTGCAATAATTATGATGTCGATTGTTTAGATCATTTTTGTAGCAATGATAATATCTACATTCAGCAGAGATAAACTTGTTTCCCAGAAGAATATACATTAGCGAAAACTTTCCAATGTGAGTGAATATGGTTTGCCACCACCATTGAAGCACTGTTCCGGCAATATCACAGGGGAGCATAACAGAAATGGGCTGCACACATGGTAGGGAGACGGGGGTGGAGGTTAGTGGCAGAATCAAACCCCTTCTATTATAATGGGTGGGTCGAGCTACATGAAACACGATGAAATAACTATGTTGTGTTCGCCTTCTTCACAGTTGTTAGGAAGGGATTTGCATCAATTAACTTCACAGATCTATTGCCTCGGGTTGTATCATCCTGTTCATTGAAGCTCCACCAATGGTGTTAATTACTGTATCGAAAGCATTGCGACCATCTTTCTAGCAATCTTGATTTCACGTGTTTAGAGCACGGTTGGGATATGTGAGCGGCCCCAAGCAGTTTCTGGATAGAATAGTTGATTTGAAGGAAGGAGTAAGTGGCGGAGGTTCTGCACTGGTAGAGGTATGTATACAAATCAGTATTCTACATTGAATAATGGCTGTTACTGCATTTGAAGTATGTTCAATAATTGTAGCTTTAGTATTAATGATTAAGGCAATCCTTATTTGTTTCTGTCCTTTCTTCCAATCACCAGACCATCATGTTGAAAGTCTTCCAGAACATGGGGCATGATGGCTACATTGAACATGGCTGCCGAGTTGCCAATTTCTACCACCAGAGGTCGCAACTTGCTTCCAGGACAGCCGAAAAACACCTTAAGGGTAAATAGTTCCAGGCTCAAGTGAACTTCATTAGATGAATTGCATGAAAACCTGTTTATATGTAGATATGCTCCCACCGAAAAGATTATCAGCGAGTGGGACAGTTTAATAATTATGGACAGATTAACTAAGTCATGTACATGATTCATCATCATTGACCTTTATTGGTGTCAATTGTTTTCACCTTCATTTTCCAGGTCTGGCAGAATGGTCTGCGCCTCAGGCCGGGATGTTCCTGTGGATGAAGCTACTGGGTGTAGAGGACTCCAGACACGTGTGTCAGAAGTTGATCCAGAAAGGGGCTGTTGTGGTTCAGGGACACATCTTCTGTCCTGCCTCGGTTAACTCCCCTTATATCAGAGTATCCTTCTCTTATGCATCGGAGGCCGATTTAAATAAGGTAGGGCAGTGGCATAAATAGCACAGGGGAAGTGAAATTCCAATCACTTTACAACAGATTCGGAATATTGTTTAAAGGTTAAAATCGTGTATATTGAAGAGCACTCAAGGAGCATCTGACATCTTCCAAAACCAGACAGATCGAAACATTATTATAAAATAACTGCCCCGGTTATTGCGTTTACGAACAAGCTTATGATTATCGGAATAATAAAGTGTTGAATCACGTTTTCTTATGAAATGATTTCCATTTCCAGACATTTTCCTGGCTGGCGGAGATTCTTAAGGAACAGTCGGAACAATGAGGAACTCCCTTCAGAGACTGTATGGCCTTGGCATATGTTATATCTTGAAAGAGACTGTACATGGAGCTTACATAGTTGATTTTGCTATAGTTTTGGTATATGTATTTGAATGTTGAATAAACATAAACGCTTCGATACTTAAATTGTACATGGCCATTCATGCATCTTATTTAATCCCACACAATATGCTTGAAACAAATTACGAACTTCACGTCCTCATTATTGGTAATAATTAAATGAGAGGGGGTAAGATATTGATAATCCACACGAACCAAGCATGGGTTACTGAAGATGAATTCTAACCTGGATCTTCACGAGTTTAAGATCACTGGTACTTCTGGTGGTGTACTAAATGGACGCAGTAATTTTTGATCACCATGATGAAATCCTGCCCACATCTTTACACTTCCATCCAACAGGAAAACACGTTACAGTTGCAAGTGTGATTAAAATACCATTGCAAATCAGCAATGTGAGCGTGCCATGAGTGTTTTTAATGCCTGAAAATCCGTTGCAGCAGTTGCACGAGATCTCGACTGTAGTCACCCGACATTAGGGCCCGTAAGTAGGTCACGGCACTTCGCGAGACCTTAGTAGTTCCAGTGACAAACAACGTTTTTCATAACTTTTCAAATGGTCTCATGGTTGTCAATTGACAGTTAGGAACTGATAATCCTTGCAGAAATTACAAATTTCCGATCTAACCATCCCCAAATTAACTAATTATTACGACTGTCAACAGTTGTAACAGCAAAACAGGTTTGTAGTCATGGTTCGGTCTGGTAAAGTCATAATTGGTGGTGGCGCAATTTGGAACCAGAACTGGTTCTTGAATATACGCTTGTCACCGGAAATCTGGTACCGGAAGTACGCTGGGCCTCGTATCGCATATCGCAAGTTGGCCCGCGCAAAGGGACCTGAGGCGTGTCCAGAACCGCGAGGGCCCGCGAACGCTAGCAAGCGCTCGATCCTGAACGCCTGTGCCCGTTGGAGTGCCCGTGCGCGCACGTGAACCATCCTCACAGCTGCCTCGCCAAGCCAACCAAGATGGCGACTATGTTTAATGTCATTCGTCACCACTCGCCCCTCTCCGTAGCCTCTAGTCTCTCGTACAGACCCTGAAGCAAATATATCCAAGAAAGCCCACACAAGTCTAGAAAAAGTGGCAAGTCTAGATTTCCTCAGCTTAGAAAGTCTCAAGGCTCCTTTTCATTATATTTTTTTTTTCTACTATGAACTTTTTCTTCAGTAAAATATGTTCATTTCAGAGACTAGTTGTTAGTCTACGTAGCCTCCAACAAGAGGACAAGAAGCTATTCGGCTTGTCCCGGGAATAACACAAGTTGGTCACGTTCAGGGCCGATGCGAGCGCTCATGCGAGGCAATAGCGCGGGTGCTAGCGGTTTTGAACACGCCTCTGGTAACCAGCTTAGTACCGAAAGTAGTCTCGCGAGACTTACTACATACCCTGTCAAGTGTGAGGACCCGTGTAAACAGATGGGCACTGTGGCAAACTGCCATAATAGGCCTGGCACGCCGCATGTGACATTAAATTGGGTTACGTCATCGCCGCAACATATTTGTGTGCAGTTGTCTCCAATAGCAAACGGTTTTTCAGAGGTATTGTTAACACAAACCGTCAAGAATCGTCTGAAGGTCAAAACGTGTCAAGAGGTATTATAGTTACACCATACACATCTCCACCCTACATATAAACACTATTATTTATCGATGATTCCACAAATATCTGTGAGTAAGTGTCACGACGTTGTTGCTCAATCTACCAATCCTGCAACTTTACAATCTACCAAATCTTAAAACTCGATTTGACCGGTTTGTTTCAAATCCCATAAACCGTTATCGTGCGTCACGAGCGGAACCAATTGTAAGACTGTGAATATTCCTTTGCACGTAATGCTGTTATTGCCGGGTGACCCTTGTCTCCAGCCTGTCTGAACAATTTGCACAGCTTACACTTACCCTCACAGTGATACATATAGGCTCCGGAAACAAGGTGAATTCTCCCGGTACTTGAATATGGACCCTGGCCCTCTTACCGGGTGAGTTTATTAGATTTTTTGTCATATACATTTCACGATAGACAAATAGATAGAATGTATATGTACACTGGATGTGAAGTATATCAATCAATAGTATCAGATGGTTATGTGTAGTCAGACAGATGAGAGGAACTTTGATTCTATGTGTGTACAACTAACGTGTTGTAGGACGTGTGTACAATGAATTGAAATGGATTGGGCTCTGCAAGTGTTAAGACGTTTGGCAGAGAGATGAACAGTTCAACCTTGGATGGAAAATTATTTAAAATTAAATAATATGACAAGGAGTGAGTGAGTGAGTTGGGTTTTACGCCGCACTCAGCAATATTCCAGCTATATGGCGGTGGTCTGTAAATAATCAAGTCTGGACCAGACAATCCAAGGATCAACAGCATGAACATCGATCTGCGCAATTGGGATGCGATGACATGTGTCAACCAAGTCAGCGACCTTGACCACCCGACCCCGTTAGTCGCCTCTTACGACAAGCATGGGTTACAGAAGGTCCATTCTAACCCGGACCTTCACGGGTAAATATGACAAGGCAATACTCAACACACCAAACTGAGTACAAACAAACATTACCTATTTACTGACTGAGATACTCGCTTCCACATATCCTGATATTGATGGCATCACAACTACAGCGACCGCCTCCGTGGTGTAGTGGTTAGAGCGTCCGCCCGGAGAGCGGAAGGTCGCGGGTTCGATCCCTGACTGCGTCATACCAAAAGACGTTAAAATATGGTACTTGTTGGTCCCTGCCTGGCGCTCGGCATTAATGGGTACATCAAGGACTGGTCGGCTCGGAGTCAGTATAATGTGTCTGAGTGGGGTATTCATGCTTCACTGCGGCATGGTATCTCAGTGGGTTAGCACTATAAATCCAGCTTCAGTCTGGGCTAGTACAAGCAGCCGCACATAAACATACACACGCATGCACGTCGTCATATGAGCGAAATATTCTCAAGCACGACGTTAAACCCAATTCCACCACCACAACTACAGCACTATGTATATGGAAATGTTATTAGTCTCTTGAGAAAGAATAACCTGCATTAATGCCTCTTTTCAGTGGAAGTCATCGTATTGACGACTATGGACGATATTTCACCAAATTGGCAAGACGATTAAAATCCAATATTTTCGGGGATCTAGTGAGTATGTACTCTACGTGTGGCATGTGGCATTGTGTTCTCTCTGTAGCCCGAATAGTGAACGAAAATACCTTTTTTCACAACACTAGGGACATGAAACGATCCATAAGGGTAGCGACCCGTGACCACCCGGGTTAGAATCGATCTTCAACAGCCCATGCTTGTCAGCAGCCCATGCCTGTCGTGAGAGGCGACTAACGGGATCGGGTGGTCAGGCTCGCTGACTTGGTTGACACATGTCACTGTATCCCAATTGCGGAGATCGATGTTCATGCTGTTGATCACTGGATTGTATGATCCACACTCGATTGTTTACAGATCGCCGCCATATAGTTGGAATATTGTTGAGAGGGAGGCGTAAAAGTAAACTCACTCACTCCCAAAAGTATAGCCAGTTACAATTATTTCTCTTGAGATATTTTTACAGTCAGTGTGTGCACATATTGGTGGACAGAGAGGCGACTCGCCTACATGTACGCGAAATGGCTCAATTGGAGAGGCTTGATTCATCTGGAACATTTTCAGCGCTTGGTTGTGGAATGTTGCTAAAAGCGGCGTAAAACCATACTCACTCACTCTGTTTGTTGTTTATAATAATAATAATAATAAATGTGCATTTATAATGCGCGAAATCCAGACAGATATGCCTGCTCAAGGCGCTGCAATGGGAATGTATAAAGATAAAAGTCAGGGAGTGTTGAGTGGAGTTAAATGTCACTGTGATACTTGGAGAACATATCGGTCTTTAGTCTTGATTTGAATTTCTCAAAGGTTGGACACAGTTTCAACTCTGATGGAAGTGAGTTCCAGAGGATAGGGGCAGTGCTGGAGAAGGATCTGGAGCCAAATGTCTTCAGTCGATATTTAGGAACTTGGAGGAGATTTTGGTCACTTGATCGGAGTTTACGTCCTGGAGTGTGTTGAGTCAAGAGTTCAGATAGATAGTCAGGACTGGTGTTATGGAGGCATCGATATGTGATACAGAGAAGCTTGAACTCTATTCTAGCTTTTACTGGCAATCAGTGGAGGTCTCTGAGCACTGGTGTCATGTGCACGTGTCTTGGTGTTCTTGTGATGACCCGTGCTGCAGAATTTTGCAGCACCTGTAGCTTAGATAGCAGTTTACCACTGATGCACTGAAGCAAACTGTTGCAGTAATCTAGTCTTGATGTTATTAGACCATGGGCAAGTACCTTTGCTGCTTCTGCGGTTATTAAATGTCGAATGTTGCTGATGGATCGGAGATGATAATAACAGGTTCTACTGATGTGGGTAACCTGTTTCTCCATGGAGAGGTGTGAGTCCAGAAATACTCCAAGATCTTTAAGGTGGTCACTGAGAACTATATGTTTAACGCCGCACTCACAGCAATATTCCAACTATAAGGAAGACAGGTATAGTCTTCAAATAATCGAGTCTGGCCCAGATAATCCAGTGATCAACAGCAGGAGCATCGATCTACACAACCGGGATACGATGACATGTGTCAACCAAGTCAACGAGCCTGATCACCCGATCCCGTTAAGCGTGTCTTACGACAATCATGGGCTGCTGAAGATCAATTCCATCCCGGATCGTACCTGGGTTTCAGCGCTTGCTCAATTCTGATTCAAGGAATGTACTCTTGCTTGGTCAGGTAAAATCTCCATTGTTTATGAAGGGTGGGGATGGGACGGTTGACACTCATTTTCGTGAATTCTTCGAAGAATTTCTTCGCCTCTGGGTTTTTAATTTCAACTGATTGTTTTTCTGAAAACAAATGGAATTACTAGGCCCTTTCACTATGTGGCATAGAAAATGACCATGGAAATGCAACAGTCTCACGTGAAATAAAAAAAATGTATTAATAATCAAACTTACCTTTCCTAATGTCTGAAAACATTCACTGCAGATTACTTTGGAACTCACCACTTATACCTTGCTGGAGGCCTTCCCAACTCGGAAACGTTCCCATTCGTAGACGCACAGATTCAACTAAGGTTGGCCACATACTATGTAGATGCAATTCCTCTTTGTGCAATCAAATGAATAATAACTGTGCAAGTTAGAGACTTGAATGTTTCCTGAATGTTAGGGTTGAAGGTTTCCTGAATGTTAGGGTTGAAGGTTTCCTGAATGATAGGGTTGAATGTTTCCTGAATGATAGGGTTGAATGTTGCCTGGGTTCTTCATGGTTGACATTTGAACCACTAGTCTGTTTGCAGTGAAAACGTACCTATGAATTTCACTTTAAACAAGAAAGTAAATCGAATAAAGTGAAATTAAGATTGCGAATCCTCATAATTTTACCTTGACAACTGAACATTTAAATATCAGAATTTTATTAAACTTAGGATAAAAGTTGTTTAACAAACGATCATAGTTTCAAATCGTTATTATTGGTTTGCTGTTCTGAACGACCTGTCACAAAATGCTGCACTTTCCAGGAATGGTCAAACCGTAGACATAACAGAGGATGAAATGCAAGTGGCACTCCAGTACGGCAACAACAGGGGGTAAGTTGTGTTGACGTGAATACAGGTTTATATAGGCATACATACATAAATCCCAGAGATAATTCAGGAACTGTATCAGGACATGACAAATGTGTAGGGAGTAGGGAATTGAACTGCCATGCTTCTGTCCAGAGAATGCATCAACTCCTACACCATGAAGTATTATGAATATTTACAAGTCTAGATGGGAAAATTTTATATTGTGCACATATCGTATGTAATACACAACTTATTTCTTGTATTTGTAATAAACTGTTATTATTGTTATTATTATTAAATTGCATTCTCATGTTTCGTCCTCTTGCTCATCGCGCAGACAAAGAACCCACAGAATAATATGAAAGGGAGAGTGTTGAGGTGTCCTTTGTTTCTGTATATTGATGTTATGCCTGAAGTTGCTAGAAGCTCAACGCCCAGTTACAATTTTTATACTCTCGACCTAAATAGCGGGGACAAAAGTAGCATAGTTTTTAAACGCCAAAACTGTGGTAACTTACTATAGCGTTTGTCACAGACGATTTATAGATTGATTTTAAACATTTGTAACATACGAAATGTATTTAAGTCGGTAGCTATTTGTCAGAAATAGAAAATGGCTGTCGAATTCATAAACAAAGTAGTTGCCATATTTGGGAGGGAGGGGTATCCAAATCTGATTTTCTTTTAACATAAATGTGTAGGATGCTGCAGCTTCGTGAATGGCTGACAGAGTTGCAGCGACGTCTTCATGATCCCCCTACCCTCCCACCCCCTGGCGTCTCCCCCTCTGCAAACAGCGACATGATCACCATCACAACTAACGGCTGTACGGAGGCTATTAGCAAGGTAGGCGGACGTCTCAATTCTTCGTTCTCACAGACAGACAATATTTATTCACGTATCCAAGGCAATGGCCCATATTCAGGCCTGCCATACAAACGGTGAACAAATCATCAAAACTGAACTCATATACACCAAAACTCGAACAAAAATCACCAAAATAGGAAATATAAACTTCCCAAACTGCAACAATATCCTCTAAAACCGAAACAATACATCTGTAATTGAAGACTAATCGTTTGAAATGGAAACAAAACTCGCGTATCAGCTACAAGAGCGCGCAAGAACAGTCGCCGAGCGTACAAAACGGCATTCATAGCATCCCAACACGGCAGTCATAACATCCCAAAACGGCATACAAATCCAAAGATGGCGGCGAGGGGAGACGAATAGGCTTGGTACACAATGTTTTTCGTCACTATGAGTCTAATCTTGAAAATTTGATATCGGGATGTAGCGCATAAACCCCCTATTGTAGTAAGCTTCAAACATTGTCCATACTTCTCAGTGTCAGACTTGCAATTCTGCACAATGTGGTCCCTCGTTCGACCGAACAGGATTTCTTGTCAACATGCCGTGCTACAGTTTCTCTTCAGTTTTGTAAATAAAGTATTCATAGCATCACATTCAACATTACTATATTTTAGTGATTTCAAAAGTTTGGAAAAACCTTTGTTCATTACAAATATGCAACCATCGACTATTAAGGATAAGAAGTTACACTGGTCATTTTGGAGTACCCGTTACCTCTTAAATACACCCAGAATACACATCTGTCCTATAATGTATCCCTGTAACAGTAAATGATGTTCCTTTGTTACACAGATCATGCAGTTAGTGCTGGAGGAAGGGGGACTCGGTGCTGGTCGAGGAGGCAACGTATTCTAATGTTTTCAATGTGGTATGTTGTGGATTGCGTCAATCATTGTATCGATTAGTTGCAATTTTGTTTTCTAACGGGAGTTACCCGTGAAGGTCCGGGTTAGAATATTGAACTTCAGTAACCCATGCTTGTCGTAAGAGGCGACTAACGGAATCAGGTGGTCGCCGTTAAACTCAACTCACTCACTCACTCTAACAGGAGTTCATAATATTTTCCATTTTGACCGAGGTCCTTCTAATTTCACATTGTGTATGTCAGACAGCAAAATAATAATCCCTGTTGTACGCTGCGTAATGCTTCAGAGACCCACATCACTTTGCGCTGGAGTGTGAGTATGAATTTACGCCGCTTTTAGCAATATTCCAGCAATATCACGGCGGAGGACACCAGATTGCGCAGATCGATGCTCATGCTATTGATCACTGGGTTGTCTGGTCCAGACTTGATTATTTACAGACTGCCGCCATATAGCTGGAATATTGCTGAGTGCGGCGTAAAACCCAACTCACTCACTCTTTCTATTTTGTCATTATGACCCCAAAATATTACCATGGCTGATAGTTGTTTTAATTGACACTGTATGTTGATTATATTTGGCTGCTTTTGATACTTAATCGCACAAACAAACAGATATATGCAGACAGTTAAACAGACAGAATTTGATATGATGAAAGACCAGCTGAAAGAAATCATATGTCGACATATCTTAATGTACATCAAATTCCTTTGGTTGTAGAAGGCATAACAGAGGTGAATATAACTGAGCCACTAAGAACCGAGTATCTAAACTTCAATCATTTATTAGGTTCCGTTACAGCATCGTCATCGACCAGTATCTCTTCACTATTTCATGTTGATCAGATTGAAACGTTGGGTTGCAAGCCAGCCATTGTCAAGAACGACGCAGATGGCTTGATACCCTCGGATCTTAGTAACGTCCTGTGTTCCTGGAACGAGGCTACATCCGGGCCTCGGCCAAAGCTGCTATACTGTGTTCCGAATGGTGGAAATCCGACAGGCGCCAACCTGACTCTGGAGAGAAGGAAGGAGGTTTATGCTTTGGCAAGGAAATACGACCTACTGATAATCGAGGACGACCCGTACTACATGCTGCAATATACAAGGGTAAACCCAAGTGTTGTATATGTCAACGTATTGTTTTGTCTGAGTAGGATCTTATAGGTCGAAGGTAAAGTCCAATGATCATCTTCTCGCCTAATTTGAGAATCATTGTCAGAGACATTTATGTATACCACAGTAACAACGCACATCAAAACAAATGAACATTAAATGCACAATTATAATTTAAGACATCTTTTGTTTCTGTATATGCCAATGTCATATTGTGAATGACATACACATGTAATGTTTGATGTCAAATATATAAGACGAGTATATGGATGGCAACCTCTTCATTGTATATATACACTTATATATTCACCAACTTCTAAATGCCTCCCAAAAAATACATGTCAAATGTCAAAATTACATGCATTTCAGCCCCTCATACCAAGTCTTCTGTCACTAGACGTAGATGGGCGTGTTCTCAGATGTGATTCTTTGTCTAAAGTCATGGCTGCTGGGTAAGCTTATTTGTCCTGAAATTTCCACACCCTTGAGTTTGGCGTCAACGTTGTGAGGCTCCTGTGTTGGCTTTATCTCGTGAAGTATTTTTCGACAGAATAGGCCCTAAGTACCCAATTGGTCGATGGAAAACAAAACAAAAGTAAACATTACACTTTAGTAATGACTGTGTGTTATCGTACCTTATGGTCTTGCTTGTTCAATATCTCTCTGTGTGTGTGTGTGTGTGTGTGTGCGCGCGCGCGTGTGTGTGTGTTTGTTTAAGGGGGTTTTGTATCTATTTTATCACCTCGATACATATTTGTAATGGTCATTAAGCAACTCGTGTCTCTATCTTGTGATGGTTTTGTAAGAAATCTGTGAATATACGGACAATTTCTGTTTGTTTATCAAGTGCACGGGTTGGTTATTTGTGCGGTCCAAAACAGTTCCTGAAACAATTCCATGAATGGAAGGAAGCACAAACGTTAAGAAACGGCCTGACAGAGGTATGTATATATGTTCACAGTGATCACAGTGAGATACCTTAGTAAAAAAGTACCATTCGTCGAAGTACCATTGTCATCAACACTTCATTGGATAATACTCTGAAGGTCTATCACCAACCAATTGCAATATTCTTGAAGAATAAATGGTATTATTCAATCCTCACATTTGATTCCTTTCCTGGAATCGCCAGACCATCATGTGGAAAGTCTTGCAGAACATGGGGCATGATGGCTACATTGAACATGGCTGCCGAGTTGCCAACTTCTATCACCAGAGGGCGCAGCGTGCTTCCATGACAGCCGAAAAGCATCTAAAAGGTTTTTGCTTATAAGGTTTTGATGATTCTTTATAGGAATGAATGATTTATGTTTAATTGTGAACAGAAATCAGGTCATGTCACGGCTTGTCAGCTTGACGAAGAAAGCACAAATTGCAAGAAAGCAATAAATTCAGATTTATGCCGCTCCAGTAAAATTCATGAGCAGTGTATAGTACAGATTTACCAAAGGCCGTGGGACAATTCTGCACAGCGAAATGTCCTCTTTATGTGACTTGACCGCATGTGGTCTACCAGACAGGTGTTATTAAACAACATCTTTTACTTCATTTTCCAGGTCTGGCGGAGTGGTCTGCGCCTCAGGCCGGGATGTTCCTGTGGATGAAGCTACTGGGTGTAGAGGACTCCAGACCCGTCTGTCAGAAACTGATCCAGAAAGGGGCTGTTGTGGTTCAGGGACACATCTTCTGTCCTGCCTCGGTTAACTCCCCTTATATCAGAGTATCCTTCTCTTCTGCGTCTGATGAAGAAATGGACAAGGTGAGATAGTGGGACGATTAGACATTATTGCTTCCAAGTCGACTAGTATGTATTAAAGAAGAAAAATATTAGTGTTAATTAGCTTGCCCATCCAGCGATTATGACCAGGTTCAGGCAGATTGATCATATAACAAAGCATATTGGATAAAGGATTTTCTCCTCGTTTCTAGGCATTTGCTTGGCTGGCTGAGATTCTAAAGGAACAATCGTAACAATGAAGACCATCCACTGATGCCACAAGTATTTATTTAGAAAGAGGATGTAGATTGCAATTTGTATTATTTTCTTTACCAATAAAACTATATAAATCAGGATGTTTCTGTTTTTGTTGAATGTTACAAGTAGAGTTTATGATCATTTGCAAACATGAAATTACATGTTTTGTCTCCTTGATGTAACCCATGCTTGTCGTAAGAGGCGACTAACGGGATCGGGTGGTCAGGCTCGCTGACTTGGTTAACACATGTCATCGGTTCCCATTTGCCCAGATCGATGCTCATGCTGTTGATCACTGGAATGTCTGGTCCAGACTCGATTATTTACCGACCGCCGCCATATAGCTGGAATATAGCTGAGTGCGGCGTAAAACTAAACTCACTCCTTGGTGTTGAGCATCAAGAAGGATAACGAAAAGTACCATACTCTAACGTGACCACAGATCCTCCCTGCACATTCACAAATAAATCACAGTCCAAATTAGCCATTTCGGAGCACATCATCAAATTTCCTCAGCACAACATCAACTGGGACTCTTGCAAACAATCAACATGATTACACTACAAGAAAATTGACAGAAGCACTACAGATAAAAAGACACCACCCAAAACTTAACAGGGACCAGGGCTATTTTATCCTACCACCAGCTTACCACCACCTAATCCAAAACTACTTAATCCAATCTCCCTCTGGCTTCTCTAACTAATCCCCGGGTATCCTATTCATCATGCTTTTATCTTGCCTCGCGTTGTCTCATGTATGATTATGCTTGTGTTCATTGCTAATCATCTTGTTTATCATCCATTGTCTTTGATAGCCTAGCCCTCGTGTACCCCAATATATATACTGCTGTATCCATTCACCACCTGAAAACGCACCCGTGAAGGTCCGGGTTTAGAATGAACCTTCAGTAACCCATGATTGTCGTAAGAGGCGACTAACGGGATCAGTTGGTCAGGCTCGCTGGCTTGGTTGACACATGTCATCGGTTCCCAATTGCGAAGATCGATGCCCATGATGTTGATCACTGGATTGTCTGGTCCAGACTCGATTATTTACCGACCGCCGCCATATAGCTGGAATATTGCTGAGTGTGGCGTAAAACTACACTCACTCACTCACCACCTGAAAACGGTATACGTATCTACACTGAAACGTAGCTATTTCACAATAAAGAAGTTGATCATCCATAAAGACTTGTCATTGCTATCTCAAATGATGTTTCCGTTCTGCATTCTGGTGAGTCAGCTGTCAACCTACTTTACTTACATTCAATGTGACGCTGGTATGTAGTGAAACCCGATCTGACACAGGTTATGTGCGTCTACCATCTTGGTCTTAGCCAGGAGTGCTTACCAACATGGTGCTTACAAACCTTCAAACAACAGCAGGACGAATATGAGATTCGAACCAATGATGAAACCATTATTGTTCGGTTAATGTGCTCAGTGTGCCTGACACTAGCCTGATCAATCGACACGAAACAATTTTCGTTAATTCTTTCGTGTTCAACCTTGAGGTCTTGTCTTGAAAAAAAATTAGAAGTGATATCTTTCACGAAGTCTGCCGTTGTGACAAGGGAACATGCTAAGTATTCGGTATTCATATACATGTGCTTTTATTGCTATCCCATTTCCCATCCCCGGCCACGTCATACCAAAAGACGTTAAAATATGGTACTTGTTTGGTCCCTGCCTGGCGCTCGGCATTAATGGGTACAACAAGGACTGGTCGGCTCGGAGTCAGTATAATGTGTCTGAGTGGGGTATTCATGCTTCACTGCGGCATGGTATCTCAGTGGGTTAGCACTATAAAACCAGCTTAAGTCTGGGCTAGTACAAGCAGCCGCACATACACATACACATACACATACACATGCATGCACGTCATCATATGAGCGAAATATTCTCAAGCACGACGTAAAACCCAATTCCACCTCACCTCACCTCACCTCACCTCACCTCACCTCACCCATTTCCCATCCAGTGTTTTTTTCCACATTCAGTCAACACGATTATTTAATGGTCCTTACAAACATGGTGATATAATACCATTATGACCGACGACTTATGGCACGAGTAAGTATCAGTCATGTTGCACCAATACCCATTTCATTATGATAGAATATACGTTTTAGTGCTATTTGAGAGAGGTTCGATTCCCCACATGGGTACAGTCACACTTTTTCCACTGTTTTTTTAGAATAATGCATACTCACCAGAGAACTAGGATTAAGTGAATTGTAAACAGTTATCCGAAACTTGTTTACCTGGTAGGGATTAGACTGGAATCTAGTCTCTGAAATGAACATATTTTACTACGAAAAAAAAATGTCCATAAAAAATAATAACATATCGAAAAGGTGCCCAGAGACTTTCTTCATTTCAGAAGTTTTTTCGTGAAACTCTGGAAATCCTGACTTTCCACACATTCTAGACTTGCATGGGCTTTCTTGGATATATTTGTTTCAGGGTCTGTATGACAGACTTGGAGAGGCTTTTAAGTATCGCTTACATAAATCAGCCATGGTATTGCTTTGAATCGCACCGCTCTTCTGGCAAACGTTTGATGGGATAGCAAGCCTAGTGGCTAAAGATGTGTATCTGGCATTCATGTGTAAAATCTTGTGATGACTTTGATGTCAATGTCAGAAAAAGGACAAACCCACTGTAACCCGCTCCTGGTGTAGCATAGTTCATACAAACATATTGAGAGCTCAGTGTTATAACAATGTTTTAATGATAAGGCGAATAATACACAAAACCTTGGATCGATTGCGGTAATGTATGTTGACAATAAGGTGTTGTATTTGCTACCTAAAAGTGCCTTGAACATGATCGTGGTATGTGAATATTTAAATGTATTTGATATTACTCTGGATTACAGCTGCCTTAGCAGATGATGTATCATTATCCTTCACTTGCTATATTTTGTACAGTACGCTTGTTTCATGTTAATCAGACTGAAGCATTAGTTGTAAGCAAGTGACTGTCAACACCCGGTGGCGTCCGATCTTAGTAACGTCCTGTGTTCCTGGAACGAGGCTGCATCCCTGGAACGAAGCTCCTATACGGTGTTCCGAATGGTGGAAATTCGACTTGCGGCAGCATGACTTTGGAGAAACGAGGGCGTATACCTTGGCGAAGAAATGCGACCTATTAATAATCGAGAACAACCCGTATTTCTTGCTGCATTTTACAAGGGTATATTTGTAGAATGAAAGGGTGATGGTAGACACAGATGGAATTAATGATTAACATAATATTCGTTAATCTGAGCGATTATTGAACGAAGAGATTTATGTGAGCAATTTATGTTCAGACCCGCAAACCGACGACAATGAAACACATGGCAGGTGCTTATAGACAAGCACAAGAGCTATATTTGTAAATATGATTAATGTTTTTCATTAAGAATACACGGCCTGGATTCCATTTTACAATAAAACATATTTCAGCCCCTTTCACCGAGTTTGCTGGCACAAGACGTCGATGAGCGTGTCCCCCGATGTGATTCTGTTTGGTTTGGTCAAAAATGCCGGACCAGTAGAAAATTATTCCAAAAAGCTAAATATAAAGTTAAAAATTCAAATTCAGCTATTGATAGAGCACATTTATGACTAATGTCAAAAAACTATAAAAATGTTAAGACAAACACATACGAAACTATCACATCAAATTAATCATCTATTCCGGAAGAATAGGAAGAGCTCGCATAGAGAATATTGGAAAATGCTCAACAAAGGCACGGTAAACAAATTGAAAATACCCCCGATGTTGACACTTTTTACAATTATTTTGTTGGAATAAGTGAGGAATTCAACCCAAACGAGGCTGATCTCAACGAGAAATTGACTGAGACATGTATTTTCAATACTGAGACCCTTAACAGCGACATTTCACGAGAAGAAACAAAACTTGCGGTAAAACAAATAAAAAGAAATAAAGCAACGGGCGTTGATTTAATCGAAATTGATTTCCTGATTGACTCAATACATCTACTTATGCCTCTGTTTTAGAACATTCAACCATGTACTATCATCGGGTATTCTACCGGACTCGTGGCTTACTGGCGTTGTTAAGCCAATCGACTGACTGACTGACTGAGTTTAGTTTTACGCCGCTTTTTTTGTAGCAATATTCCAGCAACATCACGGCGGGGGACTCCAGAAATGGGCTTCACACACTGTACCCATGTGGGGATTCAAACCCGGGTCTTCGGTGTGACGTGCCAACGCTTTAACCACAAGGCTACCCCACCGCCCTAAGCCAATCGATAAAGGTAAAGGGTGTACAACTCGTACAGACCTATGACAATTTTAAGTTGCCTTGGTAAACTTTTTACAAGAGTGTTAAATAGCAGACTGAATACATTCTTAGATACCAACAATACACTTAACCCAACAAATGCAGGCTTCAGACAAGGGTTTTCAACATGTGATAACATTTTCGTTATGCAAATGATGATCCAAATACTAACACTCTCCAAAAAATGAAATATGTATCATAACATAAATCTAGGGTAATGATTGGAAATACCATATCAGATGAATTCCCGTGTTACGAGGGTGTGCGACAAGGTGAACACCTGTCGCCCCTTTTGTTTTCGATATACCTAAATGATCTTGAACAACACCTCTTTGACAGTAGTTGTAATGGTTTTAAATATGAAGCGCAAACTAACAGTACTGACCACTTACACCATTTTATTATATTGTTATACGCAGATGACTCCGTACTGTTCAGTGGAAATCCCAAATGATTTACAAATACCCTGAATGTCTTTTTTCATAACTGTAAGAAATGGAAACTTAAAATAAACTTATCCAAAACGAAAGTTGTTATCTTTGGAAGCGGCCCCTCGAAATCTTCGAAACTTCACTTTATCTATGGAACTGAAACTATAAATATTGTAGATACATACCATTACCTTGGAATTAAATTCCATAGGAATGGGCGATTTGTCCAAGCAATTAAAGCACTTACGGATAGCGCCACTAAAGCAATGTATCGCCTTTTAAAGAAATCAAAGAATGTTAATTTACCTTTAGATTGCCTTTTCGATGCATCTGATGTTATTGCTGTTCCAATTCTATTGTATGGCTCAGAGATATGGGGACATGAGAACTTAGAAATAACAGAAAGATTTCACTTAAAAATTCTGAAATTAGCTTCCGGTTTGAGAAATAGCACGCCAAATTATATGCTTTACGGTGATTTTGGAAGAGAGCCTTTGAGTATCAAAATCTATAAGCGATTTATTTCACATGGGCATAAATTAGCCTCTGAGAACACATATTGGAAGCCATCCCAGATTATATATAACTGTGTCAACCACATCTGTGACAATACAAGTAAAATTCCACGGTTACGTTTTGTGAAACATATCCTTGATAACTGCGGTCTATCCTACGTGTATCTAAATCCGTCTGTATGCTCGACGCCCTGGCTTGTCTCAATGGTCGAAAACACCTACAGAGCCCAGTTTTTCCAAAATTGGAAGTCAAAATGTTGATTCAAGTTCCAAGGAATATTATTATAAATATTTCAAAACCCAACCAATCTTAGAAAAATATCTTCTTCCAAAAATTATATACTACCCAATTTTGAAGTTTAGAACATCTAACCATAAATTACCAATTGAGACAGGCCGACAGCATGTACAGAATCCCTTCATGCAGGCATCTGAAACAGCACGCCAGACAGTGGGAACACACGGAAGACCAATCAGTACTGATACAGTACGCCGACGTCTTAACAGCGCAAACCTCCATTGTCGTAGACCTTACCGTGGACCTAACATCATCCCTCGTCATCGGCGTGAACGTCTACAGTTTGCCCTACAACACCAAAACTGGCGATACAGGCAATGGAGAACTATTCTTTTCACAGATGAGAGTCGGTACTGCGTATCAACTGCAGATGGCAGAACATGAAATGGCGACGACGTGACCAGCGTTACTCAGACCAATGTGTTACGGAAAGAGACTCATGGGGAGGTGCAAGCATCATGGTATGGGGTTGAATAGGGAGAGGAGGCGGCATTACAGCGGTGCGCTACATCGACCAAGCTCTCAGACCCCACGTCATACCACATTTCGCACGTCACCGGAACAACATTTTCCAGCATGATAACGCCCGGGCCCATAGCTACACGGGACTTCCTACAGCAGAACGGTGTCAACATTATGCAGTGGCCAGCCCTTAGTCCTGATTTAAATCAATTGAACATCTTTGGGGTGAAATTCAGAGGAGACTGAATAATGTCATACCAAGGCCGAACACAGCCGATTTATTGCGCCAGGCCTTTCTCAGAGTGTGGTTCAAGGTGCCAGTGGCCTTCATCAATCGATTGGTGTACTCCATGCACAGCCGCTGTGCTGCTGTTATTGCCGCTCGTGGTGGTCACACTCGATACTGAAGTCATAAGTCTGAATGGACTGCAAACGTTCACGTAATGTCTTGAAATTGTGCTGAGTTATTCATTGATGTGTAAAGATATTGTACACAAAAAATATTTTTGATCCGCTTATTATGTCCATTTCTGTAATGATTTGATTACAGTCCCTATCTAATTTTGAATATTGTATTTGGACTGACGGGGTTTTTTGTCCTGCTGAGTATATTTAATGCATTTAAAAAATGAAATATTGTTGTTATCTTATATCTTGCTATCGTGTAAGCTGCTGTCTTGTATAGTATGTAAATGTATAAACGTTTATCTCATGTACCGCCGTTTGCGGTTTGTAGAGAATAAAGAGTTTGAGTTTCTGAACTCATGGCCGCTGGGCGAGCGGATTTGGTGTCGTGTGTACTTCACCAATCAACCCCTAGATTCAATTTTGAACACATGTTGAAGTCGAAGCTACTGGGTGTAGAGGACTCCCGACCCACCTGCCAGTGCCTGATCCAGAAAGGGGCTGTTGTGGTTCAGGGACACGCCTTCTGTCCTGTCTCGGTTAACTCCCCTTGCGTCAGCGTCTCCTACTCATATGCGTGAGAGTAAGCTATTGACAAAGTGAGGTGGTGACAATTGCTTGACAACTGCTACTGATTAAAACGCTTGTTCCTCAAAGCAAAATACCACGTTCGTCTAAATGATGCGATAGTAAGCACCACACTTACTTAATATCAGGACCCGTGAAGATCCGGGGTAGAATAGGTCTTCAGCAACCCATGTGCTTGCGATAAAAAGGCGACTATCTTGTCGTAAGAGGCGACTAACGGGATCGGGTGGTCAGTTTCGCTGACTTGGTTGACACATGTCATCGGTTCCCAATTGCGCATATCGATGCTCATGCTGTTGATCACTGGATTGTCTGGTCCAGACTCGATTATTTACAGACCGCCGCCATATAGCTGGAATATTGCTGAGTGCGGCGTAAAACTAAACTCACTCACTCACTACTTAATATCAGTCTGGTAAGACCTTTGGTTCACCGAGCTAGGATTAGAAAGGAGTCTTTCCAAACCTGACGAGATGGAAAAAAACCTATTGTATCGTTTCTGGGTGGCAGGGATTATTAGGGAACAACCATCAATGAAGAATACGATTAATTCGGTAAGGTAAAATAACGTACATGGTATGCAGTTTGTATTTGAAATAGGGTACATTATCACATTAACCCCACGATAGATATACCGTGAATGCATTTAGGAGATTTACGGGCCCCATGGCTACCACGGTTACCATGCGATACAGTTATAATGTCCATGCGTGTAACATATGTGACAGCTGTCTACAAGGCATTACATAACCCATAGCTTATACAAATAACCATATCTGATACACAGACAGCGGTACTTCCTGCAATAACCTATGATAATATTTATATGAGAGATGCCAGGGAAATGAAGTGACGTCAGAACGACTTGCAAGGGCTTGACCTAACAGATCGGGAAAGTGACAGACGGAGCATGTGTTTAAGTCATGCGAATCATGAAGTGCGCAAGCTTTGACTTTTGATTGCTTTTCATAATGCAACTGAAATTTCAGTAACTGATATAGTCTTAGATAAAACGTAGATCGTTTCCACTGTCGACCTTGAAAACAAAATAGTATTAACACATGACTAGTGAAAACCGGTATGCATAAGGAACGGCATTGCATTTTGGTGGGATATTTTATTGTTCATGCGCAATATAATCAGAATCGTAAATACGATCTTTTATGATTATGGAAAGTGATTTGTGGTTTATATTTATTAATCATTTATGGGGAACCTTGTTTAGAATAAGTAAGCTGGTATGCTTCTTCAAAGGGCTGCCTCACGTGGATATAATACGTATGTGACTTGGCTAACAGTGTGTCGCAATTCCATGGATCGGGACCCGTGTCTTCACTCACTGCTATTCCTGATCCAGCTTCGACAAGAAGCTTCACGTGGTATACGAGAAATAACGTTGCCCCTTACTCACAAAAACTTTACGAAATGCACTGTTCTCAGGTATCAACCTGACAGAAACTCGGCAATGTGCGAACATGTATATCAGATAACAGAAACGTGGATATCACGCAACACTATAATGTGTGTCCTGGCTTATATGTCCCTCTTGAAGCCCATTGTCTACGCTGAATGGTGGTTGCCGGTCGGAGTGACAAAAGGTCTGGCCATGTGTTCCGGAAACTACTGATCTGACGATAGACGAACTTGCAGAAACCTTGATTGAAATCAATACACAGTCCCGGAAAACGTGCAGGTAAGTTGTCGTGCTCATTTCTGCATGACATGCGTATGTTTACGTTCATATTCCTGTGTATTTGACCTTTACATCAATACTCCTGTGTGGTTTCCATTCACGTGGACAATCCTGTTAGATTTATCACAACATCCATATACCTGAAGATTTTACCTTTAGATCAATACCTCTGTTTGTTTTACTTATACTACACTACCTCTGTTTGTTTTGGATGGTTGTATCCATTGACAACAAGATCAATTTACACGCCATGACCCTGTGACCGTCCTATCCATACATGCGGACAATGTTTATTGGCCATAGCATCCACTGTCATTTCCCGTTAACGATTCCCAATAGATGTCAGGTTATTGGGCGGACTATCTACAGCAGACCTAAGAACTGATATCTCTGGAACACATGTATTCTGGTGTTGTTACTGCTGTAGGCGAGAACCACGTGCAGATATAGATTGCCACGACTGCTGGTCCTGAGGTAAAACCAGCGGAGGTAAGTATGGCAACAGCGAGTAGACTCTGAGAGTGAAAGCAGTTTTATCAAAGCATGCAGTGTAACGATTATTCACATTTGCAATTAGAGCCGTAAATGTCAAGATATATGTGTCAAAATTATATCCATTGATGTTGACTATATAAGTCTTTGATATACTGTATCACTTTGAAGATCGGTGTAAAATAGGGAACTGTAAGAGTGTTCAGCAGAACGATATAAAGGAACATGGTTTGTGAAATTAGGACATATTGCACCAAGTGTTACCATGTGTTACCATGTACCGTTATGCTATGTTAACGTTGTGTTGTGTTGTGTTTTGGTTGTGTTGTGTGTGTTGTTTTATGTCATGCTTGGTTAATTGTTTCTTGTTTTTTAAATAATCATGTCAGAATGAATGAATGAATGAATGAATGAATGAATGAACAGGGTCGCGTCCCTTGGGCATACCAGTGAACACCATCGCGTGTCTCACTAAAGTGGTAACCTGAGAAAGCACTCCGGGCTTTCTTCCCCGTTTAAGCAGCCACGCTCTGATAAAACTGTTAAAGCAGCGTTAAAGCCAATCAAGATGAAATATAAATGATTTCGCTAACACTGCATGACTCTGTAAGCTACGAAGACATGACTGGAGTCTTTTTCTACAAATATTGATCTAGCTCCAGCTCTGAGGGGCACGTTCAATTAATAGCAGTGGAACTTTGTCGTGAAACTTTTCTAAATCGAGTAATTAAGTATATGATAACGTTTGGTAGTATAAAATCGTTTGGGTTTTTTTTTCGTGTATTTTATAGTGATGTAGTATTTTTGTGTTGTGACATATACAACTAACACATATACAAGACGTGTAATACAGAAAATGTGCTGTAAGTTAAGGAGAGTACACAATAGTGTCTCATGGTTGCCAAAAGGTGAAACAAACAGCAATCTGTTATGTAATAGTGATGTATTTGATACGATTTTTTTGCAGTGTTTCTTTGAGTGTTCTACTAACGTTATATTAACGTCTGTAATTTTCTTGTCAGATCCAGTTTTCACTTGTGATGATAAATCGATCTTGATAAATCGACAGTGTTTGCCAATTGTCACATCTGGCTAACTTTACGATATTTATATCTGACATTTCAATCCATTTCTTCGTGAAAGCTTTCGTGTAGTTGTACATGTGGGTGTTGTACTGATTGTAACCTAACAGGCTGGATACCGAGTTTCTTTTCTGACGTACATGTCCATAAGATCTGAAAAGTCAACGTTGTGAGGGGATTGAGCTCGCACGGTACTGGAATTACACAGAAATGTGGAACGTTATATTTCCGTTCTGGTGTAAATTGAAGTGCAAATACTAAGGCGGTTTGAAAAAAGACGTTGATATTTTTATCAAGCGTTCGAAAAAGTACGTTTCTCCGTTATTTATCCTACACTGATAGCCATACTGTGCGATGTGTTTATTGTATTTGTGATCTTTGTGAAGGAAATGGCATAAATATATATGAAATTGATTTGTATGCTTATATGTGAATGTTTGTCAATATAAATATGGTTTGCCATAAATAACGAAAACTGGTTTTCCTCTGTGGTATCAAACAGCGACGTAGAAATAACGCGTATAACCAAAAGGGACATAACTCCGCACAGCACTAGGTCATTGTAACTCAGGGCACGAAGTAAGAATTGGATGTGGATAAGGACAGTTCATTTTCGTGATGTTTTGCTCACAAGGAACAAAACTATTCAAAAACAAAGATCCACATTGTAACCGGATACATTTTGTGAGAATCTCCATTATTATCGGGATTAACGGGATCGGGCGGTCATGTTCGTTCCTTACTTGACAGATGTCATCGTATCCTCATAGATCGATGCTCATGCTGTTGATCACTGGATTGTCTCGTCCAGATTCGATTATTTACAGAGCGCCTTAATAGCTGGAATATTGCTGAGTGCGGCATTAAACAACCAACCAACCAACCTAACCCGCTCCTCCGTCACTAAACGTATGTCGTACCAATTGTTTGTTTTCAGATGACGAGAATAAGACTTCACAAGCTTCTAACGTTCCTCTGTGGAGTGTTGCTAACGTTGATGCTGGTAACATCGTCATCGTGGTTTAGCTGTGACCTCTCGGACATTCCAAAGGCGAAAGTTATGAATCGAGTACGTATTCACTGAATAACAGATAAATGAATGTTTGAACATACATCATATATATACGAAATATGTTAAACTGTTTTGCTTGGATTTTCCCTCTTAAATAATTTCTACATGGAGCTTCAGAAATACATTGCTCTCCCTGTTCATGCAACCCCAAAACTTATTCTGTGTAGGATGTTTTCCTCTTATATCATCAGAGCAGAATTGTATTGTCTGAAAACGTTCCGATTTTCTGACTTTCTGCGGATTTTAGCTGTTGAAGTGATATGATGTCACAGCAGTGTTTATTTGCTAAGAAAATACGATACCTCGATAGCCATTGTATACATCACGTCACAAATGGACCTAAACAATAGGATTCTTCGGTCAAATTTCTCTGAAGGACTTAAATAACTGCTTTGTTATCTCCATGAATCTGTCAATGAGTAGTGTGTAGATTCCCTTAACCTACTCGAAACTCGGGATCTTTTGTAAGCCAGCATATGAACGATGAGCGATGTTGCATTAACAATAGTGAGTGAATGTATTTACAGTTAGAAGTATTACAGACGCGGCCATCCCAGTCGCAGGCAATTCAGCAGGTATTACCCACAGAAGATGCACTTATGGGGATGAGCAGAAAGGATGTAAGCCAGATATATCACGAGTAGGTATACAATATTTCAATAGTGTGCACCCACAGAAGTTTGTTTATTAATTGAGTGAGTGAGTTTAGTTATACGCCGCCGCTATTAGCAATATTCCAGCAAAGTCACGACGGAGTACAGCAGAAATGGGCTTCACACATTGTACACATGTGGAGGATCTAAGTGAGTGAGTTTAGTTTTAGGCCGCACTCAGCAATATTCCAGCTATATGGTGGCGGTCTGTAAATAATCGAGTCTGTACCAGACAATCCAGTGATCAACAGCATGAGCATCGATCTGCGCCATTGGGAACCGATGACATGTGTCAACCAAGTCAGCGAGCCTGACCACCCGATCCCGTTAGTCGCCTCTTACAACAAGCATGGGTTACTGAAGATCAATATTCTTACCCGGACCTTCACGGGTTTGGAGGATCTAAAGAATATGTGAATTGCAACAAGTGTGTCTATTCATTACCGATAAATTGATAACATAATCTCAAAACAACCTTCGTAACTCATCAAAACTGTGTGCTGTTGTAAATTCAAATGTAATTTAGGCGAGTTATTTTGTTCGACAACGTCAACATTGGTGAACAAACAAGAACCACACTATGTTGACTTCCACTAAGATAGACTTAGGACAAGCCAGAACCTATCCTAGTATTTGTCCTAGGTAAGGATATCCTAGCGCTAGGATACTTTTCGAGAATAAGGTAGCACACCTATCCTAGACCCTAGGATCAAAGTTAGGATATCCTAGGGCTAGGGGCACAGGTCTTCGGCGTGACGAGCGAACGCTTTAATGACCAGGCAACCCCGAAGCTCCTACAGAAGTAATGACACGTCTGTCAGTTCATGTTTGCGTGAGCTTTAACGCCATTAGAGTAGTGTTTTACTTAGGGTTCCAGCTCTCAAAATATATGTATGATTAATCCATCTATGTATAGTAGACCGGTGTGAATAGTTAGATTGACCGGGTTGTCCATTTGACGACTTTTACAAACGAAGTCAGAGCGTGTTTTTGTCAAGGACAGCTGAAACATGCCTCTAAATTGGTACATTTTGATTCTCTATCTGAGTGAGAGAGTTGCATTATGCCGCTGTGTGAACTGACTTTCAGTTACATATAGCACGGCGTGTCAACCTGACGCGACACAAGGCCTAGAGTAACGCACGTCTAAGACGTTTATCGCTTTATTGATACCTATGAGCACGGATACTGTGGTGACAAAACTGGACAATAATGGAGTCAAACCGGGATTCGAACACTTCAATGGAATGGTTAAACTCGTGAAGATCCGGGTTAGAATTGATCTCCAGTACCCCATGCTTGCAGTAAGAGGCGACTAACGGGTGGTCTGGTGGTCAGACTCGCTGACTTGGTTGACGCATTTCATCGCATCCCAACTGTGTAGAACGATGCTCATGCTGTTGATCACTGGATTGTGTGGCCCAGACTCGATAATTTACAGACCGCCGCCATATAGCTGGAATATTTCTTAGTGCGGCGTAAAACTAAACTCACTCACTCAATGGAATTTTTCGGGCTCAGAGTAAGATGTGTGTGTGTGTGTTTGACAGTTGTCACAAGGGAATAGAACCCTTGAATAAAAGGGTTTGGGTTCAGAGTAAGATGTGTGTGTGTTTGACAGTTGTCACAAGGGAATAGAACCCTTAAATAAAAGGGTTTGGGCTCAGAGTAAGATGTGTGTGTGTTTGACAGTTGTCACAGGGGAATAGAACCCTTAAATAAAAGGGTTTCGGCTCAGAGTAAGATGTGTGTGTGTTTGACAGTTGTCACAAGGGAATAGAACCCTTAAATAAAAGGGTTTGGGCTCGGAGTAAGATGTGTGTGTGTTTGACAGTTGTTGCAAGGGATTAGAGCCCTTAAATGAAAGGGTTCGGGCTTATTGAAAGATACGTGTGTATGTGGCAGTTGTAAGGGCTCTCGATCACGTACAGGTTGTAATACTGATGTTCTATATCATGGTGTGTCCAGCTATGTGGCCACGATACAGGTGACGTGCCAGAGGACGATCCGACCAGGGCGTTCTGGAGACGGCGGCTGGGACGTGTGTGTAGATCCACCGTACCGGCTTCATGCACCGTGTTTGGTGTACTCATTTGGGTAGGGAAACTGAACGAGATCTGTCAGGATCACTTTGGTATTTTTTATGTCATGTCAAAGTCAAAGATGTTTTATTGTATCAAAGGCTATCAGCCCACATACAAGTTTACATAAATACACTGGGTGAGAATATACCGATTGGTAGATATAGTGGAAATGATAAAAAATATAACATTCATTTAACAATTGGTGGTAATCAGGAGGACGTTTTAGATTAAGGTAATTAGAAATCTGAAATTCCATTCAACAAGTTATTTCTAAGTTTCATTCCATGTTTTACAAATAAGGATAGTTTAAATATTACATCGGCATCATTCGATGACGAAATAGAACCAAACCCTATTCTACTCATCTTAGATGATAAACGATCTGGTACTATATATTTAGATCGTATATCTGCATAACAAGGACATTCAAAGGTAATATGTATTTCTTCTTCTATAGCAGAGTTACATAATGAACAAATTCTTTGTATTCTTACAAGTGATATATTCCGTCCATAATTAATCATTAGTGTTGACAAGCCAAGTCTGTATTTAATATATTATACAGAGAAACGTTTTACATGCCAGTAGGTGAATTCTTTCTAAACGTCTGGTTCACCAGCCGTCATCTTGCTGACATTTACATTTGAGTACATCGATGCTCATGATATCAATCACTAGATTAACTGGCCCAGACTCCGGAGTTTACAAACCACCTCATATTGCTAGAATATTGCTACGTGCTGCATTCAACAACATACTGAAGAACAAAGCATTTGAAAACATATCATAATGGTCGGTGTTACGTCAAAACATTTAGATTTATATAACGAGAAAACTGAAATTATTCGCATTCTCGTTAATTTACAGCAATGAGATTAATTGTAAATTCTTTTTTCCAACAGAATAAACTTTGACTTCAGCTTTGATGATGACATAGCGAACAAATACGGTTGTGATGTGCATTCGTATGACCCAAGGTAATGTCATTTAACTGACCAAATCTTATATTTTGGATGTTTTAGTATAGTACATATATTCTAGTACGTTTTGGGGTTTAGTCCATTCCGCGATTCGATGCCACTCTCTTGGATTGAGTTGTTAACTGTCGGCACAAACGTTAATTTTCTGTGTTGGTGATTAGCTGCTTCACCCTGAAAGACTGGGATCGAATCCTAGACGGAACTCAATCATTCCAAAGTACTAGAAATTGCAGACCCGTGTTGATCCGGGTTAGAATTGATCTTGAGTAATCAACGTTCTCGTAAGAGGCGACTAACGGGTGGTCAAGCTCGCTGGCGTGGTTGACACATGTCATCGTATCTCAACTGCTCATCGTTGATCACTGGATTGTCTGGTCCAGACTCGATTATTTACAAACCACCGCCATATAGCTGGAATATTGCTGAGAGTGTTATATCGAACATAACATTTGTTGCATTTGACCACTTTTTACTCAGTTTTACCACTTGTTACTCAGATAACAGATTGGGTGGAAAAGTGACTAATATGGTGTACAACTGTTGTATGCGGCTGCGGGGGACAGTCGTGTGGTGAAGGCGTTCGCTCATCCCGGGTTCGAATCCCCGCTTGGGTACAATGTGTTAAGCCCATTTCTGGTATTCCGATCGGTAATATTGGTGACAACAACACAAATACAGATTTATTTGACACTAGGGTCATCTGTTTGGGTATTTCCAGCATGAATGTCGGCGACCACTTGCGTGGGCAACGAATCTACTTCCACAAAACAGGTCTAAATGCTACTGACGTCATTAATGAAGATGGATGGCGCATGCGCACATTCTCGTCTATCTTGAAGGACAACAATCATTCTCAGGTAAATGCCATAACGATATGATTGCGATTGCAGTCGTAATGATTGAAATAAATCCCAACAGACAGCGCAAGTCCAGGCGAATTGGATGGACTATGTTGTGTTAGAATGGTAGTGTGCGGACAGCGCAGGTGGGAAATGTTGGGTTGGATACTATTTTCAGTATCTGCTTCCTATTGTTTGTCCCAAATACACAACGTAGACTGATGCTTTTATCACAACTGTTGGATGAGTGAGTGAGTTTGATTCCAATACGTTAAAACAGTATTCCACTTTTATCACGGTGTGTCACGAGGTGACGCAGGCCTCAAAGATTCACGGGACGGTGGGGTAGCCTAGTGGTAAAAGCGTCACGCCGAAGACCCGGGTTCGATTCTCCATATTGTTACAATGTGTGAAGCCCATTTCTGGTGTCCCCCGCCGTGATATTGCTGGAATATTGCTAAAAGCGGCGTTAAACTAAACTCACTCACTCACTTAGACGACTGGCGCGCCAATTGCGTTTCCCTCTGTCTACAGGATACATATGTATATGTATATGTATATACAAATGGAATCGGACTCATTTTTTTTCGTTTCAGGAAACCATTGATCTGCTTAAAATAGACATTGAAACGTCAGAGTTATGGGCCTTACCGGAAATGCTGGAATCGGGATCGCTGCGCCATGTAAAGCAGCTGTGTTTTGAAATGCATATAAAGAGAGGTTTTCAGGACGAACCAACTAAAGAGAAATATATTTTTGGGTTGTCAGTATTTCGAAATTTATATGAATATGGTTTTAGAATTTTCAAAACACATAAAAATATGTATGCAAAATATATTTCAATATATGGAATGGAGCGTACTGGGTGCCATGAAATTTACATGATCCGCAAGTTGAAAAACATATTATTAGTCGAATAAACGCATTTGGTGAATTCTATTCATGTTTGTTATCTATTTCAGCATTTAAATACATACATATGATTAAAAATGTCATTGTTAAACATAGTTTTATGACATTACCCTTGGTAATGAGGTATCCATTAAGGTAGTGGGTGAAGAACTACGTTTGAGCTGAAAGTGCTTGCCTAATGTACCGAGTTTACATAGTCACAAGATGGCTGATATGTGGCTCTAAATCTTAAATCACTTACTGCGTTTACTGCGAGAGTGAAATTTGTGTCAGTTTTCTACCTGACAGTTTGGTGATGTTTGTATGCCATCATCCATCCTCACTACACCAAAACCTCCATACTCACTACACCAAAACCTCCATCCTCACTACACCAAAACCTCCATCCTCACTACACCAAAACCTCCATCCTCACTACACCAAAACCTCCATCCTCACTACACCAAAACCTCCATCCTCACTACACTAAAACCTACATCCTCACTACAACAAAACCTCCATCCTCACTACACCAAAACCTCCATCCTCACTACACTAAAACCTACATCCTAACTACACCAAAACCTACATCCTCACTACACCAAAACCTCCATCCTCACTTCATCAAAACCTCCATCCTCACTTCACCAAAACCTCCATCCTCACTACACCAAAACCTCCATCCTCACTACACCAAAACCTCCATCTTCACTACACCAAAACCTCCATCCTCACTTCACCAAAACCTCCATCCTCACTACACCAAAACCTCCATCTTCACTACACCAAAACCGCCATCCTCACTTCACCAAAACCTCCATCTTCACTACACCAAAACCTCCATCCTCACTTCACCAAAACCTCCATCCTCACTACACCAAAACCTCCATCTTCACTACACCAAAACCTCCATCCTCACTTCACCAAAACCTCCATCCTCACTACACCAAAACCTCCATCTTCACTACACCAAAACCTCCATCCTCACTTCACCAAAACCTCCATCTTCACTACACCAAAACCTCCATCCTCACTTCACCAAAACCTCCATCCTCACTTCACCAAAACCTCCATCCTGACTTCACCAAAACCTCCATCCTCACTACACCAAAACCTCCATCCTGACTTCACCAAAACCTCCATCCTCACTACACCAAAACCTACATTAACAACTCGCCCAAATAACTGCGCACAACACAGCTCATTTTAATGCACATTCCACTCACATTTTGGGGGTTGTCCCAAACTTGCGTCAACATATCATCTTCTCGTCACTTTATGGCTGAAATATTGCCGAGGTGACGTTAATTTTAACTCTCATACTCACTCAACATATCATCCAGATCACCACGCAGAACCAATTCCAGTCAAAAACACAGTCAACATCCACGGTTCATTCACACCGTCCCAATACTATCAACTCATCAGAATACCTACCTAGCCCAACATACCCCACGTTATCCACGTACCCCCATATCAACCCAGCATAGTCCACCCCACTATCCACGCACCATCATCTCAACCCAGTATAGTCCACTCCACTATCCACCACCATCATCTCAACCCAACATAGTCCACTCCACTATCCACGCACCATCATCTCAACCCAACATAGTCCACTCCAGTATCCACGTACCATCATCTCAACCCATCATAGTCCACTCCACTATCCACGTACCATCATCTCAACCCAACATAGTCCACTCCACTATCCACCACCATCATCTCAACCCAACATAGTCCACTCCACTATCCACCACCATCATCTCAACCCAACATAGTCCACTCCACTATCCGCGTACCATCATCTCAACCCATCATAGTCCACTCCACTATCCGCGTACCATCATCTCAACCAAGCATAGTCCACTCCACTATCCACGCCTCATCATCTCAACCCAACATAGTCCACTCCACTATCCACGTACCATCATCTCAACCCATCATAGTCCACTCCACTATCCACGTACCATCATCTCAACCCAACATAGTCCACTCCACTATCCACGTACCATCATCTCAACCCAACATAGTCCACTCCACTATCCACCACCACCATCTCAACCCAACATAGTCCGCTCCACTATCCACGCACCATCATCTCATCCCAACATAGTCCACTCCACTTTCTGCTACCACCACCATCTCAACCCAACATAGCCAATCTGTGACATCCAGGCATCACCATTCCAAACCCAACATAGTCCCCTCCACTATCCACGCACCATCTCAACCCATCATAGTCCACTCCACTATCCACGCACCATCATCTGAACCCAACATGCCCATCCGTGCCATCCAGGCATCACCAGACCGCCTCTGTGGTGTTGTGGTTAGAGCGTCCGCCCGGAGAGCGGAAGGTCGCAGGTTCGATCCTCGACCGCGTCATACCAAAAGACGTTAAAATATGGTACTTGTTGGTCCCTGCCTGGCGTTCGGCATTAATGGGTACATCAAGGACTGGTCGGCTCGGAGTCAGTATAATGTGTCTGAGTGGGGTATTCATGCTTCACTGCGGCATGGTATCTCAGTGGGCTAGCACTATAAAACCAGCTGAAGTCTGGACTAGTACAAGCAGCCACACGCATATACGTCGTCATATGAGCGAAATATTCTTAAGTACGACGTTAAACACCATTTCACCTCACCTCACTTTAAGTGACGCCAAAAAAACTTCTCATCTTGATCAACAATGTCACCTTTAGAGCTAATGTAAACCAAATATACCAAATAGATTCAAACGACACTGACATAAAACGTCATTTCAAGCTAAACAAGCATATTTTTCACATGGCACTACTCTCACAGACCTAGAGCAAAGTGTATTACACAAAAGACGTGAAAGAAAACACGATTCTTTCATAATACTATTATCCATGTGTTATGGCATGCTGACTAACACTAGTGGTGTGAAAGGACGGGTGTTCTTAACTTCCTTTGAGAAGTATATTTCAGAAAACATCCATTCCAACTCTCTGCTCATCCCATTTCAGGTATAGAGTGTCCTTTTAATACGTGTGGGTTCCCTAGAAGACACTATGAGTGAGTGAGTGAGTTTAGTTTTACGCCGCTTTTTAGCAATATTCCAGCAATCACAGTGGGGGGACACCAGAAATGGGCTTCACACACTGTTCCCATATTAGGCATCGAACCCGGTCTTCGGCGTGACGAGCGAACGCTTTAACCACTAGGCCACCCCACCGCCCCAGAAAGCACTATGTATATATTACACTACACGTCACTTAATTTGTGGACTACTAACTCCACCCCAGCCTATGATCACACCCGAGGCGCCTTGTGAGGCAATTTTACAGGATTAGACTGTATTAATTCATGGCTGGAACAGCCTGGTTTCTCGTCTTCAGTTTTCACCTTACCGTGGCGAGCAAAAGGCTTGTTGATTCCTTCTTGTATAATCAAAACACAGATGTCTAGTTATTATGGGTATTTAGTTAGTTGATTTTCAAAACACATGTACACGAGACGTACCCACCCGCACGGGTACATTCATGGTGGCAAGGAGATATGAATGTGTCGTATTTATACAATTACACGCCATAAGCTATCTCATTCGAGGGTGAATCGAAAAGTGTATGGATCCACATAGAAATTCTTTCCGGACATATTTTGTTTCATCAAAATCTCTTTTAAATTGAATACATGAGAATATTTGATTAAAGTGATTGGAAATGTTTTCACTTTTGCTTTGAAGCTTTAACACTTGGGGCCTGTTCGATTATTGCGAACCTGGTTTTGGTTTCTGAAACGGGTTTCTCTTGTTATAAACGAGTGTCCAGTTTCGGATACATGGTTTCAAAGTGAAACTAGTTTCTAGTTTTATAGACGAGTGGATGGTTTCACCATCCGGTTTCAAAATGGATACAAAAAATGTCTCAGCTACTATATATGTGGAAGGAATTGGATGACAGCATTGCCGAAGGTAATATTGTTTGTCATTTTATCAGGGAATGAACAAATAATAAAGAGATGAGATGCTTTTGGAGGTAAATATTTGCGTATATGTAATTATACTATAACACGCAATTATATGTATACAAGTTACATAAAATAGTCATGTTCAATAGACTGGGGTTTTAAATAATATTTTCCTAGTTCTCAGTTGATTTTTATCATTATTTTGGATACAGAAACTGCTGCTCTATTTTGACAAAAGATCAGCTGAACTTCGTTTCCGCCATGTTGTTGTGAGGGAACGCGAAACCGAAACTGCGAAAACCTGCCTCGGAGATGGTTTCGAAGTTTCAGAACCCAGTTTTAGGTTTCGAGAAAATCGAGTGCATGGTTTTCCAGAAACCAAAACCGGTTTAGCATAATCGAATAGGCCCTTGGTAAAAGAGAAGGATTTGTATAACAGGCTGGTTTATGATTCGCATATGAACTGTGTCAGGATTCTGCTGATACTGGTCAATAGTTCCTGTAAATATGCAGGTGGGTCAGCTTCCAGCCTGGGGTCAGGTCTAAGGTATTAGTCTTGTGGTCAGCTTGTTCGAAGGGCTTTACTCATGAAGAGCAATCATCTGCTGCATTTCATGTCTTCGTGTATTTCCTGCGGTGGCATGCCGGTTCCATGCAGGTTCAGCTCGAGTTTCATTTTATTCTCAATGTCCCCTTCCCTGTCAAATTCTCCACCTGATTTCTCGAAAACAAATGCAGATACTAGTCTACAACTGGCACATATTCTACATGCAGGCATTGGAACATTCCATTACACAAATCAATGTATGATATTACCCTCCTATATGTAACTGTGGTAATAACTGACTGCAGGGGACTACGCATCGCGACCGTTACCAATATCATTCAGATTACACAGTTGTTCACTATCTCGACAATACAGCTCCGTTTGTTTGTTTGGTCGCACAGCTCTGTTGACTTTCACAACGGTAGTTATTCCGTTATCTGTTCTCCACCAGACCGTTAAATTGGTACATGGTACAATTATTCCTATCAATTCAAACCTAATTCAATCATCTGATGCATGGTGCACTATATTGTTAGCAACTTCAAGTGCATGAACAAAAAACACTACGCATAATTTATCCATTCTGATGAGTCAACATAGCTGGAGAATATTTCAAAATCATTTGATTCCTGATGTTTGAGGCAGGAAGACCGTTTTTCATATTGGTGCCTACTAGCCTGTAACATTATTCTAGTACCAACACCCGAACATAGTTGTGTGCCACGCCAAGCCACGCCACGCCACGCCACGCCACGACACAGCACAACAACCTCATCGCCCAACAACCCGGTATGTTGTTTGTCTTTTACATCTCAGTAGCTTCATACATGACACACTTCACAATAACATTTGCATATAAGTCACGCCGTAACAAGATGATCGCAAGACACAATCTGACCTGGGGCGAGACAGTATGTCATGTTATTTATGTAACGACCTAAGTGTGGATTTCAGCTTGAAGATGACCTCTCGAGATTTCGCGATACCGTGATCTACCCTGTAGCGGTGCGCCGGTAAAGATTATTTGCAACACGTTAGGACAAAAGGAGACTGTCACACTGTTCGCCGTTCAAAGACTTAAAAAGAGATATTAGGCATAGAGAATGATGTGCAGTGACGAATAGAGACTGTGATGATCGATCTAGCTTTGTGCTAGTTTCGAATCCCACATGTATCCGGTTAAAATCCGTGGTTTAATAGTACCGTACTCTTACACTTTAATACCTGCGGCATTCTAGATCGCTGTACATGTGTTCGTCGATATACGTTCCAGCTTCACAACGCTAACTCACTTACCTTCTCACTCACACTCACTCACTCACTCACTCACTCACTCACTCACTCACTCACTCACTCACTCACTCACTCACTCACTCACTCACTCACTCACTCACTCACTCACTCACTCACTAACTCACTCACTCACTCACTCACTTCATCAACGTTGGGAAAGTGTAAGCCGCGCACCAGTTCAGTCTTTCATCCAACATTAAGCTGACCCGCACTGGAACACTGTTACACGTAAAAGCGTCGTTAAACCCAAGTCAACCACTTCCCAGGTGTCAAGGGTTTGTCCATCCATTCTAGGAGTGAGTGAGTGAGTTTAGTTTTACACCGCTTTAAGCAATATTCCAGCAATATCACGGCGAGAACACCAGAAATGGGCTTCACAGATTGTACCCATGTGGGGAATCGAACCCAGGTCTGCAGCGTGACGAGCGAACGCTTTAACCACTAGGCTACCCCGACGCCCATTCTAATATGAACAAACAACTTGGACTTCTTCTCCGCCATAGCTTGTTTGTCACCGTCTTCATCTCCTTTATCACTAATATAGCACAGTATATTTCTCGCTTATGGCTGTAGCCTGATTGGATGGCCTTTTTAGCATCGTGGCTGCTTGGTTTCTTTGTTGTTTTACGCCGCACTCAGCAGTATTCCAGCTATCTTGAGACGGTCTGTAAATAATCTGGACCAGGCAATCCAGTGATCTTTTATATTTTTGTTTTTCAGGTAAAAAGTTGCAAGAGAACGTTCTCGACACATCCACCTTCCCTTCAACGGGTGTCCCAAGAAACCCTTACCCGGATATAAAAGGGATTTATTTGACACAGTACGGTATGCGCCCGCTGATTGTTCAGTGACACAGGTCAGACTTCCGTTATGGCTATACGTAACACACCGGCATACAGCGCAGCATGGCAGAGGGGCAAGGGTAAGTGTTATTGATTAATCGAACTTCTGTTGCAGTTCAGTCGTTGTTTATGATTTCCTAACGTTAACATGAAAGCAGCAGTTACCTAGTCCATATGTAAACATATGTTATTTATCCGTATATTTGCTGAAGCAGCCAACAGCTTGTGGTGTTGTATGATCAGCTCATTTCATCACGGGATGTTTGCGATGCATTAATATGAATTAATACACAAGAACAGATGTGCAATTCGGTTAAATGGGTACTGATAAGGCTATTAAAGATTCCATTGAATTGACTCCTTTCGGTAACGTTGCCATTTGCGTGCACGTACATGGTGTCGTCGACTGTGAGAAAATGTCACGTGTATCTCGCTTCAACATCGCCCCAGGCATCAAATATGCATTGTCTTCCTCCTTCCTTCGTTACAGTACCGCATGCAGTAACGGCCAGCGTATTACAGACTACAGTGCGTTCTTCAATCAGGAAACAAGACTGACTCAACCGGCACCTATTTGGCGCTATGTGGGTAGGTATACACTCCGGGGGATTTATGCATATTTGCACAGCACGTTAGTTTTGAGCGACCAAATCTCGGTTTTCCTTTGTGCATATGCATGCTAAACAATTTCCTATTGGTTCATTGTACCGTGAAGATCCGGGTTAGAATATTGATCGTCAGTAACCCATGCTTGTCGTAAGAGGCGACTGACTGACTCACTCACTCACTCTGACTGACTGACATATTCACTCACTGACTGACTGACTGTGTAGATCGATACCTCATGCTGTTGAGCATTGGATTATCTGGTCGAATATTTACAGACCGCCGCCATATAGCTGGAATATGGCTGAGTGAGGCGTAATACTAAACTCACTCACTCACTCACTCACTCACTCACTCACTCACTCACTCACTCACTCACTCACTCACTCACTCACTCCTATTTGTTCAATGGGTATTGTGTAGCTGTTCATATGGACGATGAAGTGTATTTTACTTTATGTAATGGACTCTATTCTCTCTGCTGGGAGGGGCGGTGGGGTAGCTTAGTGGTTAAAGCGTTCGCTCGTGTCGTTCGATCCCTACATGGGTAGAATGTGTAAAGCTCATTTCTGGTGTCCCCCGCCGTGATATTGCTGGAATATTGCTAAAAGCGGCGTAAAACTAAACTCACTCACTTACTCACTCTGCTGGGAGTGCTTTTCTCAGTGTGAGGGGCAGTCGGGTAGCCTAATAGTTAAAGCGTCCGCTCGTCATGCTGAAGACCCAGGTTCGATTCCCCACATGGGTACAATGTGTGAAGCCCATTTCTGGTGTCCGCCGCCGTGATATTGCGGGGATATTGCTAAAAGCGGCGTAAAACTAAACTCACTCACTCACTCATGCCCAGATGAGAAGTTTTGTTCACACTTTCGAATACTGTTTTATCAGGTCCTTGTTCAGTATAGCTGTAGTTGTGTACCAGGACACTAAACCCCCAGGAAACGAAAGACAATACCCATATTTGAGGTGGATAAAAAGAAACAAAAAACGTGTTGCTTAATGATATCACTGACACGGATATCACGGATGTATTTTAGATCCACGGGTTGTAGCGTGTTGGTGGCTGTTTAAGCCTAGTAACGTTTTGATAAAATTTGTAATACTTTATTTTGCCGGACAATTCCGACTGACAGATTGAGTGGAGGCTTAGTAATAATGTTATTAAGACGACTTGAACTCACTTGGTGAAGTTCCCAGGTTTGGCAGCATCAAGTGAAACGCAACTTGTACCTCTGATTTATTTCTGACTGAACTGAACTGAACTTTATACACACTCCGGCCGCGTTCTGCGACATTAGGGATACACGTATACATCATTATTATGTAAAACGTATGTATGTTACATACATGCATGATACACAATGGTAATGTATACATATCGGATGGTTGCAAGAATAAAGTCAATAAACTATGTCTGTACATGCATTCAATAAGTTGAATGAATGATGTTATACTCATGCGTTATTGTTTTTCTATTTTGGGCGTTGCTTAAAGTAAAACATTATTACTTTGCAAAATATCGCTTGTTTCCTCATTCTTTCTAGTTTATTAGATTGTAACAGCTGGACATGTTCGTTTTGTGAATACTCGGATTTCTGCAGTAATAGTTGGTGATCTTTTTTTTCCTTTCTAGGACCAAGGTAGGGCTAATAACCAGAAAGTGAAATTCATCTCCAATATCGTTTGAAACCAAAAAAATCAAACATTATTAAAACACAATTATCACTTATTCATGACATATAATATACATTGCTGGTTATGAAAAAACATATAAACAAAATTATAAGCGTACAATCGCAAATCAAAAGTGCAATATTGTGTACATTCGGTTTACTTCCCAAGAAACGAAGCAGCCGGGATACCGAACCCAGTCAGAGCGGGTGGGTGTGCACTCAAGTGTAACAGCTGGTTCATTTGCAGATGCCCTCACGGGTCATTGTGTGTGTATATATAGAGATGTTGGGTTTTGTAAATACATGCTCATTCTTTGTGTATAACATTTTGCAATCAACAGACATCATAACATGTCATGTGTTCAAGTATCACACCTGCCTGTCTGTGTAATTACATAATGTGACAGAGACCGAACTCGGGCCATAAATCAATGCATTTTGTTTATGGTGTATAGCCTGATTGGTGTTAAGTTCAAATTGCATGTGGTCAGTGATAGCAGCTGTGTATTGAATATTGTCATTAGCAGACAGGCAGGCAGACACACAGGTGTCAATAAAACAAGACATTGAGTTTAGTCTGTGACAACGACATATCTATATCACAGTTGGAAATTCTGTCAACGCTAAATAATGACATTGCTTTTAAGTATCGAACTGAGAAAGTGACTAGGGAAGAAGAACGTGTTAACAGTTAATTTACTGTCATAACATATAAAATGCTCGCGCCTGTGAGATATCAACAAAACATTAGAAAAATAGCTCACACCAAAGCCTTCACCGAGTATTCACCGGACAACTGCTTCCAAGCTGCGCGTACCTACTTCACTGCGCACGTGCTATCAGCGCAGCCCAGCTGTTGAAACCCGTTTTCCCTAGAAAAGTCGGGGGAAAATTATTGAAACGTTTGAACTCCGATTTCGCGCGGTTTTTTTCATCGCGTTATTTTTCAACTTTATAAGTTGAATTTGCATTTTTGACGATTTGTTTCGGTAAGTCCATACCGAAAGGTATCAGAATCTGCAAAGTTGTGTTTTACGTTGCATGTGACCTTTAATATTTCATTTGGGGGTGTTTTAATCCATCGCCCTGTTTCAACTGGAAGGTAATGGTTTCAGGTTCTGCAATTGAGTAACGCCCTCCGGTTATTATAATGTAATGAATTTCTTTTTTCTTTGTAAAAACTATATATGAATAATAAACTATTATAATAAATAGCTCCTATTGAAGATTTTTCTGTTTTGATATCCAGCGGCGTAAAATCATACTCACTCACTCTTTCTATTTCAGAGCAGAAGAATAAGACGCCCGTGGCTGGACATATATCGTTTGACGGGGGGTTCCCTAACAGCATACAGTTTCCTCTTCTCAAAGCAACCTTAACATTAAGGTAACAAAACGCGTTGTTTCTCATCATATCGAGCAGAGAAATTCTGTTATGGCTTAGTGGATTACAACTCGTAACCTTGGTGATCGGAATAAATTTTACAATACTGTTTAGCTTCTCGGGGAAAGCTAGATTGGAATATAATCCCAGCATCTATAGTTTGTCGGGAGCATTCGTGACCAGCTCGTGTTATTCCGGGATAAGGTTACGGAAAGGGGTGACGAATATGTGTGTAACGATATTATAGACTCTAGATATGCTTGATTAAGCTTGGCGACTTTGATATTTGGATGCCATGATACATGACTCAATGCTCATACCATCAACCACAGGTTTGTCTGGCCCAGATTAGATAGATTAGAAATAAACACGTACGCAATGTTTGGGACTTGTAAATTAAGTCACAATCACAAAATCAAACATCTTTAAAAATATATAAATGTATACTGTTGTTTGGAAAATTTTAGAAAAAGGTGTATACCTTCTTTTCTACGTCACTTTAGTTGTGTTTCAGTTTTGTAATTTTGTGAGTCAAATCCAGTTTTCAAATATGAGTATGCTTGCCTTCGTCTGCTCCTTTGGCTGAAACATTGACAGTGGTATTAAGTAACAAAGCTTATCGCAATAGTCCATTTACGTTATTCACCAGTTTTCTACACCTGCTTTGTCTTGTTAAGTTTGACCACTTCCGTGGTGTAGTGGTTAGAGCGTCCGCCCGGAGAGCGGAAGGTCGCGGGTTAGATCCCCGACCGCGTAATACCAAAAGACGTTAAAATAGGGTACTTGTTGGTCCCTGCCTGGCGCTCGGCATTAATGGGTACAACAAGGACTGGTTGGCTCAGAGTCAGTATAATGTGTCTGAGTGGGGTATTCATGCTTCACTGCGGCATGGTATCTCAGTGGGCAAGCACTATAAAACCAGCTTAAGTCTGGGCTAGTACAAGCAGCCGCACATACACATACACACGCATGCACGTCGTCATATGAGCGAAATATTCTCAAGTACGACGTTAAACCCAATTTCACCTCACCTCTTGTTAAGTTTCGAGGAAGCTGAAATTTTGCTTTGTGTGGTGTTAAACAACAAGCAAGCTTTTATCTCTAAAGCTCGTTCTAATTTAAAGTGTTATGAAAAGTCGGAACAGTTACAATCTCTTCAACTACTGTGAAGAAATGATGGTATGAAATAAATTGTTTTGATAGAGTTGGTAATTAACTGAATACATTGTATTGTTGTATCATCGGCACCCATATGTTTAAACTTCAGAATACATATGTATATGTACGTCACACATTTAGGCTATTAAAAGCACTTAATTGTTTTTAATAAAGTTTAATTTAACATTTTCTTAAAATATTAAAAATGTGTAGGTTTTTTTTAAATGTCGGCGCTAACAGGTATACATTAAACTTCTACCAAAGAACAATGTCTGATAAAGAGATGCTTATAGAAAGTTTTGCTTTTTGTCTTTTCATAGTTGTATAAATAATAATTTTGGTCCTCACTTGGACATGAAAAATGAAATACACACGTTACCATATCACTATTTATTATATTCTTAAGGGTGAAATACTGTAAATATTGGTGAAAATATGGTATTTTCATTGAGTAGAATAACATGTTATTTCACTGAGCAGAATAACACTTTTGCCTGGAACTCAAGGGCTAGACTGTAGTTGGATTGCGTAATAAAATGCAGACTTACTCGATGTCTCGATCATTTATTAACAATGATCAAAATATAATAAATAGAATATTTTGTTAATGTTGTCAAATATCATGTATATTTCATCTCGTGAACCACTCGTGAACATATCAACTTTGTCAGACCACGAGATGAAATATACATGTTATTTGACAACATTAACAAAATATCCTCTATATCTGTGAATGATCTTGTATTACAGTGACGGCGAAGAGGTAGAAATCACTCCCTCTGAGATGAAGGCTACTCTGCAGTATACAAAATCAAAGGGGTAAGAATTCCCTAGTTCCGTCAGTAGCCAGTCCAGTGTAAATAAACTGGACTTCTGTTCGGGACAATGTCAAGGACAGTTTATCCATATTCCCAAGCTATGCGATGTTTTCTCCCATGTCCTGTACGTAAGAATCTCTTGCAGTAGACCCGAGTCTCATATCCACCCGAATATCAACACAAATGGCAAACATCAGTCTGGTTTCAATCCGGGGTAGTTCACCTGAGATGCGTGGATGACTGTATGACTGCATGTTCCAGAATTTCGAGAATTCTGGTCTTGCCCCACACTGAACTGTTTTTTGTTGCTGAGGCAAGTGCCTTTGCTGTAAATGTGCCAGTTTTCGCCCAGTAAACACACTGTGATGAAATGAGTGAGTTTAGTTTTATGCCGCCTTTAGCAATATTCTAACAAAATCACGGCGGGTGACACCAGAAATTACTTCACATTGTACTCATGTGAGGAATCAAACCCGGGTCTTCGGCGTGACCAGGGAACTCTTTTACCACTGGACTACCCCACCGCCCCACCGGGTAATAACGTGTAGCGATATGGCCACGCCTTGGGGCAATACAGTAGGAATATTATTGTTATAAGTATCATATTTGACAATTTGAATCCTTGAACGCCAGGATGACAAAAATCTCGGAATGGGTAATGGAATTATACAAGCGTGTACACAACCCCCCAACAATGGACGGCAATGGGCTCCCCTCATCCCTCGACTTGATACTCACCTGCGGAGGACGATGGGGCGTGGTCCAGGTAAACCGTGTCTTCATCTTTATCTTACATCTTAAATGTAGACACGTATACCAATTTAAAAAAAAAAATACCCAGTCTCGATTATACAGTCTTCCATTGCTTCCATCACACAGAGGTGAAAAAATAATATAACGCCTTTTACACCTTTCTACGGAAGCGTAGTAGGGCCATGGTGAATTTTCTTTTAGTCTCATTATCTCCTACGTAGATCATAGTATCTCCTACGTATGAGTATCTCCTACGTAGGACATAATATCTCCTACGTAGGACTTAGCACTTAGTATCTCCTACGTAGGACAGTACTTAGTATCTCCTACGTAGGACTTAGTATCTCCTACGTAGGACTTAGTATCTCCTACGTAGGACTTAGTATCTCCTACATGGGACTTAGTACTTAGTATCTCCTACGTATCTCCTACGTATCTCCTTAGTATCTCCTTAGTATCTCCTACGTAAGACTCTGTATCTCCTACGTAGGACTTAGTATCTCCTACGTAGGACTTAGTACTTAGTATCTCCTACGTAGGACTTAGTACTTAGTATCTCCTACGTAGGACTTAGTATCTCCTACGTAAGACTTCGTATCTCCTACGTAGGACATACAATATCACCTACGTAGGAGATGAGCGATATATATTAATATACATTAATTTGAAATGGTCGACTTAAATCCCAAGACACGCAAACAATCCCCTACTTCAGTCACTGTTAGAGTATACAGTCATGTGTTTCATTCACTATTAGAGTCTACTGTTTCATTCACAATTAGAGTCATGTGTTGAACTAATTGCTGCACATTACTGTCATGTGTTGAACTAATTGTTGCACATTACTGTCACGTGTTGGACCGACTGTTATACTTTACTGCCTTGCGCTCAGTTTCCTCTACTAGTACGCGTTGCAGTTAGTTCACTCTTATGTGTTGCTGTTTCTGTTACGTTTTATGGTTATAAGTTGGATATTTCAGAGGCCGTTGCACATGGGTCATAATCTGCGTACACAGACCTCTGTTAGACTATCGGTAGCAATCTATGCATGCTTATTCCCATGATTCAGAAGCCCGTCGAGTGTAGTAGCTAAGTCGACACAGAAAATATTTGTCAACAATATTTTCCCTGACCTTCCTCCGAGATAAAAGACAACGTCACCATCTTCTTGTGAATAAATATTACAGCTTGTCGAGTTTGTGGCATTTCACATCATGGGGATTCTGTGTTAGAACTAGACCCTAGTAATCTGTGCTTCTGGTCCGAGACGACTTCAAGTGGATCCGGTCGGTAGGCTATGCGACATTTTAATGCGAGTGACACTGATCATTGATCATTGCATGTATGATAGATAAAACATAACCATACGCAAATTGCCATAACTGCACTTATCAATAGAAGGTCCACGTCACCCTAACGTAATACACATACACAATAACAATGTATAGCAACACTGCGTTAGTGTCATGAATATTCACTGACTCAAATTTCTACCATCTAATGTCCTGCATAACCAAACATTTCTCAAATTAATACCCATACTTCATAATCCGAACCTTAAAAAACCCCAACTTTTTTGCACTAATTCAATTGCTACGATTGGCATACGCATGTCAACGCATGTTGAGCGTCACTCAGTACCCCGATTTGAAATGTAAATACTTACTATCCATTACTAGCCTCTAAGTAGACATAAAACGGAAAATTAAAGAATGGAAGAAATTATTATCAAGTCCGGACGTGGTTGCTCGACTTAATAATTACGTGTGACCCATCCACATAACTGCAGGTTTCTATCAATTTCCCTTTCACCTCACGGAACATTAGTTGTGTATATACACAATTATTCATAATATATTTATCATCTCCTACGTACGCGATATTAAGCAGATAGTATGTCCTACTTAGGAGATACTAAGTCCTACGTAGGAGATACTATATCTATATCTTGGAATCAAGACTGGTGAAGCTGATGGTTTGTTATGTGATTTGAATAAACTTAATTTGATTTGTGATTTTCCTTCAGTCCCTCAAAATGTTTGTGGAAGATGGAGGTTGTTTCCTCGCCGAAGAAGTGATTTACCAGACATTAAGCCCTATGGTAAGTGTTTTCTAGTACAAATATATGTAAAAAATATGAAGAAGGTGGATTAAGAATGATAGATATCAAATCCTTTATAAATGCACTAAAGTTATCCTGCCTCAGAAGGTATGTAAATAAAACGTCAACTCGCAATCGCAGTTTATTTCATTTCAACAAAATATTTATTCACAGTCATGCAAGGATTGATAACCCGTTTTGGAGTGATGTTTTATCTATTTGGAGTAAATATTATAAACAACAAAGTAAGATAAATACTTGTCAACCAGAAGAAATCTTGGCTGAACCTTTGTGGTTGAACCACCAATTAAGAAACAGTAATTTCTTGATTGAAGATTGGTTTAACAGAGGTATTCATACAATAAGATATATATGGGGTGAAAATTTATTTTCAATGAAATACAAAAGCTTTACTGCATCAAAGGAACAGTTTTAGAGTACAATAAAATCATCTAAAATATTCCCAAATCTTGGAAAAGTACTCTTTTATCTGATCCCGTAAGCACTCAAAACCTCTCACTAAACTCAAGTCTTCAAGACCTACTTTCTCAAATGAAGGGGTGTAGAATTTTCTATGACAAACTTATAGCAAATTATACCCCACCTACAGTTTGTCAGAAATGGCAGAACGAACTAAATATAGATATTTCATGGAACATCGTGTTTAGAAAATACAGAAACTGCACAAAGGATGTCAAGCTTTTAGCTTTTCAGTATAGATTTATAAACAGAGCAATTTATACTAGAAAAGACTTGGTGCATATGAAGATAATTGAAACAAATATTTGCTCTTTTTGTCAATCTGAACCAGAAAGCCTCCAACATGTGTTCATAAAATGTAATCTTGTACAGGAATTTGGGAGAAAGGTTGAACACTTTATTATAGCTAAAATACATGGAATTATCATGAAACGGCCCTCCCATTATCAGAAATTTGCGGGCCGCTGCAAATGATATTGGACCGCTCAACCTTAACGACGGGCCACTATCAGTTCTGTTGTCAAGTGACGTCATAGTGGATGCGTTGGCTTACGGTTCATTCGACATTAATTGGCTTTCGACTGGCAGATATTCTGGGTCAAACAAGTCAAAGCAACCCGAATTCCCGCTAAAAATAGCGGTAATATTGGCTTTCTTGTTGGTGCTAACCTTAACAATTGCACTATTAACGTTGTTGTTTGATCAAACCCGAACACTGACATAGTTTGACATGTTGCAGGCTATGGTCGTGTCAAAAGCCAAGGTCGAATATCGTCACTTTCTGTTGTGACGTCACTTGAATTGTTCGATGACGTAACTGCATTCGGGTAGTCAACCCCGTCAGAAGTTGGTGTTGAGTAAACTTACAGTCAGATTCCTTCGTTGTTTCCTTTTTCTTTTCAAAACAAATTCCATGTATTTTAGCAATAATAACGGTAATGCTATTTTTGAGGGCATTATCATTTGCAGAAGCCCTCGGTCTTTTTCAACTGCCCTCATTCGTCGGGCAGTTAATGGAAGACCGCAGGCTTCTGCAAATGATAATGCCCTCAAATATAGCATTACCCTTATATTAATCCTACACATTGTGATGTTCCCATTTCTGATCAAGACATTCTCTTTTGCAACAGTTCAGCTAGCCTTCTAGCAACACACATTATCCTGTTGGCCAAAAAATATATTCGTTCTTCAAGTATAAAACAGAATGAACTATCCATTGACTGTCTTGCTAATATCGTCAAGGGTGTGTACAAAGTCGAAATAATTATTGCTTGTAAGAACAATGTTTTGCCTAAATTTCATTCCAAATGGAAACCTCTGAACAATGTATTACAGATATAGTATACACCTGACATGTCCATGATTTTTTGAGCGCTTCACTGTATATACTTTAAAAAAACAATGATGAATGTATCCAACTCTACACCTGCTGAAGTGAAATGAATAAAAAGCATTTGTAAAAAGTGCTTTCTAGTACCTTTTCGAATTTTTAAGAGCCGACCAGTTGTGTGCGATGTTTTAACTCACTCAAACACTTTTTTGTCCGTACTCACCCTCTTATTCATCAAAACACTCAACTTACATAACCAAACACTCTCTCACTCAGCATTCACATGTACACACCCACACTCCCTCTTATTGAACATCCCACACCCAAAGACCCTGTCACTCACCGCGGACACAAACGTTCCCTCTTACCCGTGACCACCCACAAGTATATGTTCCAACTCCTGCTTCCAGACATACTCATCCAAACATACTCTTACCAAAACTTACTCACCTGAGACCAAAATGGATCCCCCTGGGATTTAATAAAGTTTCAGGACGGGGTGCGCACCCCGGCACACGCACGCAAGCACGCACGCACACGCTCTCCCTCTCTCTCTCTCTCTCTCAGACATACCCACCCAACAACTACTTTACCCCCAACTCACCCATTTACTCCTCCGAAAGTCTGCTGAACCACCCATCCCACATCTCCCCCACTCACTCACTTACTCACCAACTTACTTATTTAGAAACAAACCATAAGTTAGACGCCAACTATGATGACTCTCCCTTCCTCCCCCTTCAGTACTTGCCACGGAACATCAGGGGCATTGCCATCCGAAGTGATAAAGGAGGGATGGACCCTGTCCACTTGAGGCAGGTATTGTCCGAGTGGGACGAGGGGAGTCAGGGACGGCGCCCCACTCTCATGTACACCGTCCCCACTGCCAGCAACCCTACGGGATTGACCCTGAGCGAACAACGGAAGAAAGACATCTACAAAGTTTGCCAAGAATTTAACATCCTCATCTTGGAAGACGATCCGTACTACTTCCTGCAAAATGTTAGTTGTTTTTATTTGCCTTTTCATGTGTTAAGTGATGAAATACCTATTGTAAATGCTTAAAGAGATATATGTACGTATGATTAAGTTCATATGTAAGAACCCGTTAGGTTAATCCGGGTTAGAATTAGTATCAGACTCGCTGACCCATTTTTGGTGTCTACCGCTGTGATGTAACTGGTATGTTGCTAAAAGCGGCGTAAAACCATACTCACCCACCGCTAGGTTTGCAAAAGGTATTGGAATGGGTTTGTCTATCGTTAGTAGTGTGTTATGGTAAATACCGCTTTTAACAGTAAATATATCTCGACTGTTTCCGTCATAGTTGGAAAGAAGGAGCAGATTGTTTCCATTTTGGTGAAACCTCTGTCATTTCAACTCGTACAGTAAACAATTGGCTATGATTAGTCACTTATTACTAAGTACGCAGTGGCCATCATACCCATGAAGATCCGGGTTAGAATTGATCTTAAGTAACCCATGCTTGTCGTAAGAGGCGACTAAAGGGATCGGGTGGTCAGGCTCGTTGGCACATGCCATCGTATCCCAATTGCGAAGATCGATGCTCATGCTGTTGATCACTGGATTGTCTGGCTCAGACAATGTTAAACAACAAAGAAACAAAATCGTATGTAAGATATAAGTATGAAAGTCAAATCCAAATTGCTTAGATCGATGCTCATTATATTTTGGATTGACAGTTAATATTTATTGTAATGATGTTTCATGCAGACTCTCATTCCGAGCTTCCTGTCCATGGATACGGATGGACGTGTAATACGAGCTGATTCATTTTCGAAGACGTTATCCCCAGGGTAATGATACTCAAATGTTAAATGTGTTACATTGTTAATGATTTGATTTTGTAACGAAATCGATGAGTTTTTACGGAATGATATTACAATGGTTTAATAAACTAAATGCCAAAAGAGAGTGTCCCATGACGAAAATTGTCATAGGAAAAAATAACCAAATGCATTGAAATTAATGAAAATTCATTTGTATTGGAAGGATGGATGGCTTCCACGGTATTTACAATGGTTTACACAAGTAAACAAAACAAACTTATTAAATTTACAGAGTGATGATTCTCATGGGGGTCAAATGTCAGTCTCATAATTTAAATCATAGAGTTTGCAATTCGTTATCTAGTTCAATGTATTCAATGTACAGTCGGGGCGGTGGGGTAGCCTAGTGGCTAAAGCGTTGGCTCGCCACGCCGAAGACCCGGGTTCGAATCCCCACATGGGTACAATGTGTGAAGCCCATTTCTGGTGTCCCCCGCCGTGATGTTGCTGTAATATTGCTAAAAGCGGCGTAAAACCAAACTCAGTCAGTCAGTCAGTCAGTCAGTCAGTCAATGTACAGTCCAGGATGCTCTTGTGGTCAGTATCCTGTGTGTCCTCCTCGAGAGTTACGTACGCATGAACACGACGTCTCACTGACGTTGTGAGACGTCTGATGACGTAATTGGGAATGTTTTGCCATTACCGCGTTAGGGCATGCCATTCCCGTGTTAGGGCATGTGTTTTCTAACACATCTGATGACGTTAACGAGTTATCTGATCTCTTTAACTCTACTTTGACGGCCGTCTTAGATAAACACGCCACCGTTAAATTGAAGCAAGTTCGTAATCATGAAGCATCACCGTGGTACAACGATCAAGTCCGTGAGGCAAAGAGGAAGAGACACTTTGCTGAGCGCACATGGCGCATCTCTGGCTTGGAGATCCATAGACAATTGTACAAATGTGCCCGTAACAATGTTGCCAAAGAAATCAGAAATGCTCGCGTTCACCCCATTACATCACACTAAATTTCTTGGATTGCACAACCTCCAAAACGCATGCTGGCGCGGTACCGTACACCTCTGCGTCGACACACCCCTTGTCGTCCATCTAAGTGAGTCTTGAATTCCTCATGGCTGAAGAAACGACATTGGCAGAGGCTTTCAACACCTTCTTCAATGAGTGGTGTTGACGTTGGTCCACGGTCGGTCGACAGGCACGAATTCCAGCAGTACGTAGTCGTCTTGATACAGGCTGTGCACTGATAACACGACCTAGTGCAGTTGATGACGTTTCTGTGACAGTCAGGAACCGATCCTTAGGTGTAACGTCAGCAGATAACGGTCTTCTTGAGGGGTCGTGACCTTTGGTCTGCCAGTTCTCGATCCAACGTTGCCTGTCTGCTGAAAACGTTCCATTAATGTGTTGATGGTTTTACGGTAGTATCCAAACGTCCTTGCAACGTGGGCGTGAGACGCCCATATTGATAATGCCTATTGTTCTTTCTCTCTGTTCGCAGCATTTAAATGTGTTTTCCTGTCAATCTCTCATGAGGCATTTACAATGATTTGGTTTCTCAATGAATTTTGTGCATTTGGATATGGAAAAGCATGCATTTCTGTCTTATTCACAAAGTGCACGAAATTCTCAATACCGTTAGCAAGTTTCGATTTGACCCACATTTGGGATGCGTTTGGGTGCATAGAAAACGTTCGGTTTCGTTTGTTCAATCAATTCCCCAAAACAAATTTCCAAATTTTATTGAGCTTTATCCTATCCCGACAAAATTCCTTTTGAACATACTGGATATCATTCTGCCAATCATTACCAAGATCATCAACCTAAGTTTATCATCAGGTTGTGTACCATCATGCTTTAAGCGAGCTGTAGTCAAACCACCCATCAAGAAAACCACGCTTGACTCTCAGTGCCTAAAAAACTATCGTCCTGTCTCAAATTTGATGTTCTTGTCTAAAGTTCTGAAAAAAGTAGTCAAACAACAACTCTCGGATCAAATTTCTCAGCATAACTTGACTGAATGTTACCAATCTGCCTAGAAGCAGGCTCACAGCACAGAAACTGCTCTAAATTATGTCTTGAACTCCGTCAGACCTGCAGTCGACCATGGTAAATCTGCTTTGCTTGTCCTCCTGGATTTATCTGCGGCTTTCGACACAATTAACCATGAAATTCTTCTTGAGCGTTTGCTGAAAGAATTTGGTTTGACTAATACAGTTCTTGACTGGCTAAGATCCTACCTTTCAGACAGAACCCAGTCCATTCACATCGGAACATCTTCATCATCCAGTCACACCCTAACCTGTGGAGTTCCCCAGGGATCAATTCTTTTCTCCCTGTATACTCAACCGCTCGGAAAACTGATGTCTGCTCATCATGTGCCTCATCATCATCATCTCGGACGACAGCCAATTGTTTGACAGTTTTAAGTCCTCAGAACAAAGTCAGCTAGAGTGCAAGTCCAACCTTGAAGAATGCCTCTCCAGCACAAGATCCTGGATGGCTGCTAACAAGCTGAAACTTTACGACTATAAAACAGAAACAATGGTCATCTCCACAATCTCAAGACAACGAAACGTTATCATCAAAGATATTTCCATTGGGCAATCTTCGATTCCTTTTTCTCCTCTTGTGAAAAACCCTGGCGTTCTTTTGGACTCAAACCTCAGCATTGACAAGCAAATAAATCATCTAGTAAATTATTATTATTATTATATACCTGCTATGTAAGAATGTAACAATGTTGATGGTTTAATGTTTGTAACTTGCTGATGACATATATAACATAACAATGTTACGTCTCTGATTTGTGTCAGTGACGTACATACTTATAATGTAACATTGGTGTTGATATCGTTTGTAACAGTGTCTATAATTCATAACTTAACTCTGTAACATAGAGAAGAATCGGAGACAGGCGAAGCTTTGAAAAATTACTTTTACACTGTAAGATTATTACTGACGTCCACTGTCCCACTGTATCCCGATTGCATGGGAATGTAAAAATTGGGATCTCATTAGCATCAGTCAAGGTAAACTTAGGCTCAGTATTATTCGTTACACTGCTATACTGAGGCTCACAAAACCTAGTAGAAGGTCGCGTCAGCTAAACTTTAGGACTGATCAATCAGAACACAGCTACCAAATCGCGAAAGTTTAATTTCGCACGTACCATTTGAACCTTTACCTCACAAACTCGAACGATTCCGAATGCTGTTTTCAGCATGATCGGTTCCGAGTGATACACACGGAGGACGCCATTATTCATAACAATGAGTAAACAGTCGCTGAAAATAGCGTTTTTGTCAACATTCCAGGATGTCATCTTGCGGAAATATAAGATAATAGTAACCATGTCATCAGAAACCCATAAACGTATATATATATACATGCAGGTGAAATATCTGTGTTTTATGCGGATTTTCGTTTGATGAGAGATCAGTGTCAGCGACCGGGGAAGAGAAAATCCAAAAACCATCGTGTAAGTCCCGCCGAACCCTAACAAGTAGCAGTTGTCTGATTGGTTAAATTCGTTCGGCCGTCTTGCGTTTTAATTGGACGGTCATAGGTCGTTCAAAGGTTAGCTGACGCGACCTTCTACTAGGGTTTGTTACACTCAGTATAGCAGTGTAATGAATAATACTGAGCCTAAGTTTACTTAGACTGGCATTAGCATCGAACTGAATAACAAATTAAATGTAAACACATTTCAAGACGACTGTATTTAACTTAAAGCAGTAATAATTTCATCATAATACGGCATGTTGCTTAAGCGACGTTGCAGATTTAATCAATCATTATTGAAATGGGTAATAATTATTTTTTATTTATTTTCAAATATTAAGAAACATAGTCAAATAGTATTTCCTATTTTTCCGATATCTCGTTGAAAGGTGTCGACTTGGTATCCTGTTTGGACCAAAGGAGATTGTGGACAAAATGACCATTATACAACATCCCACGACAGGGGGCCCGAGCTCATTATCACAGGTGAAATGCAGCTTGGGGTGCACTGCAATTTTTCCCATCGCTTTAAGTTCACCGAATCCCCAAGTCTACCCCACCTACATTTGATCACTTTGCAGTTCCACAGTATATGATCCACCTGTCACGTCTCACCTACTCTTTTTCCAACACCTCGTAGATCCACAGTATATAATCCACCTGTCACGTCTCACCTACTCTTTTTCCAACACCTCGTAGTCCCACAGTATATAATCCATCTGTCACGTCTCACCTACTCGTCTTCCAACACCTCGTTGTTCCACAGTATATAATCCACCTGTCACGCCTCACCTACTCGTCTTCCAACACCTCGTAGTTCCATAGTATATAATCCACCTGTCACGTCTCACCTACTCGTCTTCCAACACCTCGTATTTCCACAGTATATAATCCATCTGTCACGTCTCACCTACTCGTCTTCCAACACCTCTGCCTTTGCGACTTATGAGTCAGGCGTAGGAGTTGCGACCTGTGGTAATGGGTTCAAACTCCGGTTCGACCCTTCTCTGTGTCAGCACAACCCCCTTGCTCGTGTGGTTCACCACAGTGGCAATTGTCTAAGACTTGAAATACTCCCTTTCGTCCCATACTAAGCTCACACGACATGATATATCGGGAATACTGTTCAGAACGCAGGTACACATCCTAATTATTCGTCCTGAAAGACCTCTATTGCACACTACATAGCACATCTCTTCGTTAACCCACGTGCCCTACAACAGTAACTATTCACAACGTATATATTCCCTGTTGACTTACTTGTGTCCACCTATGTTCCAACACCTTGCATTTTTAGAGTCTATAACAGTAATCGCATATCTAAGCCACCAAGTAACCTTCTGTAGTGCGATGGTGCATAATTCGCACATTCGTATACAATGCATAAATATTTAGGTTTCTAATTCTTATACATTACAGGTGATAATCTCCAAGGTTGTGACAACCTGGGGCCACGACAAATTCCTCAGCCATATGCAAAATGTGGCAAGTTTCTACAAGGAGAGACGTGAAAAACTCTTGTCATACATGGATAAATATCTTACAGGTGAACACCAAGACGTATTAATACTATAACTCCGAGGTACAATAAATACTTTCTTACTTTTATATACGATGCAACTTTAAAAATAACAACTGTTCAGTGGTCACTACTTGAAATGTCTTGATCTACAGAACATATTCCGCTCTGGTTTGAATATATGTTCCGTACCATTTTTGCAAAACGTAAGTATGTGGGCAGAAATCCCGACGTGTCGCAGATCGAAGTCGCATTTTGTTTTATGCCTTTTTGGTGGCTTTGAAAGGGTCATGGTAAGAATCCACGGTAAATCTGTGGATCTACCATCTGGGGATGAAGTTTAGGTTATTAATTGCGGCACCTTTATATATATATATATATATATATATGGTAATCTGGGACATGTACTTATTGTAGTACAGAAGGTCACATAAAAGAACTTGGGGTTTTCAACTTTGCGTTAGGGCTTGGTGGGCAAGTTGTCTAAGGCGCCAGGCTAGTGATCCAGCGAGCTTAAGGTGCATGTGTATGTGCGGCTGCTTGTACTAGCCCAGACTTAAGCTGGTTTTATAGTGCTAGCCCACTGAGATACCATGCCGCAGTGAAGCATGAATACCCCACTCAGACACATTAAACTGACTCCGAGCCGACCAGTCCTTGTTGTACCCATTAATGCCGAGCGCCAGCCAGGGACCAACAAGTACCATATTTAAACGTCTCTTGGTATGACGCGGTCGGGGATCGAACCCGCGACCTTCCGCTCTCCGGACGGATGCTCTAACCACTACACCACGGAGGCGGTCGAATCCGTTAGTAAATGACCAGATGTTGGCCACATGAATACGTGCAAACACCAAGTTGCGAGTGCAGCAACATGCAGTAAACTTGGACAAAGTCCTGTGACTATGTGTCCCAGTCCACCCAGCTGTGAAAGGGTACCTCGTAAGGATGGGAAAGCGACATTAACTTGGTGCGCCTAAACGGCTGCAACAGTTGTATTATCCCCAGGGAGTTGAGATTGAAAAATACAATGTGCCGTTGAGATTGACATCCAATGATCGAGGGAAAAACAAAGCGAATTGGAGCAGCTGTGCTGAGCTGGATATTGGCGCTATACAAATATCATATAAAAATAATAACATCTGGTTCGGCTTTCCATTTATATTGGCTGCATCATTTTTCGTCCTGAAGAATCTGTTTCGAGGGATGATTGAACTGATTATTCTCTGATGTTAATGTTGTGTATGCCTTTGTATGTAATCTGCAAATCAAACCCGTTCAAAACATGGATGCTTTCTATTAAATACAATTACTGAATGTATGATATGTTTTTTATTCATATCTATAATTAAACCCAATGAACGCAGGTCTGTGTGAGTGGTCTCCGGCAGCTGGAGGGATGTTTCAGTGGGTGACGTTACTGGGCGTGGACAAGTCCGAGCCTGTCGTGGACAGACTGATGGAGCGGGAGGTGTTCGTCATGGACGGCTTCATCTTCTCACTGGACAGAGCATCACGACCCAACATCCGGCTGAGCTACTCACGGATAACGGATGAACAAATGGAAAAGGTGAGTAAGCGTTTGATTGAAAGGTGGGTGAGCTACTTGAAGGTGTGTCCAGCAAGATCCGGTTAGGAGACAAAAATATTCGATAGCTCAACCCACAGACAATTATTCTTGCAGCATCGTCCTCGACTCAAGAATGTGTCAAACCGTGTTTTGTTTGTTTGTTGTTTAACGCCGCTATTAGCAATACTCCAGCTAAATATGACGCGGCGGTTTGTAATATGTCATAGCTCTTCCTTTCATGTTGCTGTATAACAGATTTAAACTGATATTCAAAGGGATGTCTAACATTATTCGCTCGTTTACTTCGGCATCCATCGTACGGATTTATAGTTAGTCAACAGCAATGTATATTGTTGTTTTACGCCGCACTCAGTAATATTCGAGGTATATGGCGGCGGTCTGTATATACTCGAGTCTGGACCAGACAATTCAGTGATCAGCAGCGTAAGATTCGATCTACGCAATTGGGAACCGATGACATGTGTCAACCAAGTCAGCAAGCCTGACCACCAGATCCCGTTAGTCGCCTCTTACTACAAGCATGGGTTGTTGAAGACCAATTCTAACCCGAATCTTCACTGGTCGAATAAACGCTGCCTGAAGCATACCAAATACGTAGATATTCCTTTCTGAACAACTGTCCATTTCATATGAAGTTTAGGGCAATATGACAGCGAAGTGGTTAGAGGTTAAAGCGGTCGATCGACGAAGACCCGGTTTCTAATCCTAGCATGGATACACCAATTTCTGGTGTCTACCGTATCATTTATGAATTAAGGGCACTCACAATTCAAACACATTCCACTGGCTGGTGTATGTTCATTAATGGGTTGTAGCTTACTCTTGTTCGTGTACTCTTCTCGACATCCTAAACTCCAGAAAAATTTTACTTCCGTCGATTCACGTCAAGCACTCACCATTCACTGAGCTTGGAATTCTACCCTTCTACAGTACAGCCTAGCGTATTAGCTATGCATCGGTTAATGAAGCACACCCTGCAAATGAACATAAAAGAAAGATTTTACATCCGAAGACGCTAACGCTCATTGTCATGTCTTGTTTGAAACATGTTTTCTTTTTCAGGGCATTTCAATTTTAGCTGATGTTCTGAAGGAAATACGGGGCATCAAATGAAAAGTTTGCTGGAAATTACATCTACACAACCTCCAGACAACGAGAGAACATATACTATAAAATTATCGGAGATTATACGGGATATTATCGGTTTCCAGATTATAACGTACTAGATATTCATTTCTTCCGTGTAATCTAGTTTGTCTAATGTGTACCCCTCATACGTGGACGAACCAATGACAACGATTAGGTCCGATGCCAGTTCTTGAGTCCAATATGTTTTCTTCAGGTGAACAGTTGACTTGACTTTGCGTGTGTTTGTGACGGGTGTCACCCGTGTGGCAGCTTAGTATTACGCTCATGTTTTCGCAAACACCTGTTTCCGTCACTATTTGACTGTGATTCAGACACGGTCTCCTAACATTATATAATTGTACTACTGATTCTTCTTTTATAGTTATTGATATTATGGCTTTTCACACTTATATTTGCATATAATCAAGATTGTTGTACGAATAATCTGTGTCCAATATGGCCCACTATGTGTATTATATGGCAATATGGTCCACTATGTGTATTATATGGCAATATGGTCCACTATGTGTATTATATGGCAATATGGTCCACTATGTGTATTATATGGCAATATGGTCCACTATGTGTATTATATGGCAATATGGTCCACTATGTGTATTATATGGCAATATGGTCCACTATGTGTATTATATGGCAATGGCCCAGACTGCCCCACGTGTACCATGCGTTTACTACTGCCTCGAGTACTCTGGTGAGAGACTACTTTGGTTCAGCATGATCGAGTGATTGTGTGTCCCCATTTGTTTACCATATTTAATCATTCCCGTACATCCCAACCATAAAAGATGGTATAGTCTTGGTCAAGGGTTTCCTTTTTCACAGGGACCGCCTCCGTGGTGTAGTGGTTAGAGCGTCCGCCCGGAGAGCGGAAGGTCGCGGGTTCGATCCCCGACCGCGTCATACCAAAAGACGTTAAAATAGGGTACTTGTTGGTCCCTGCCTGGCGCTCGGCATTAATGTGTACAACAAGGACTGGTCGGCTCGGAGTCAGTTTAATGTGTCTGAGTGGGGTATTCATGCTTCACTGCGGCATGGTATCTCAGTGGGCAAGCACTATAAAACCAGCTTCAGTCTGAGCTAGTACAAGCAGCCGCACATACACATACACACGCATGCACGTCGTCATATGAGCGAAATATTCTCAAGCACGACGTAAAACCCAATTTCACCTCAACTCACCTTTTTCACAGGAATTTCTTTGACTGTATCTGGGATTCGACTTTGGTTTTCACGTGACTGTCGTAAGTAAAATACGTGTTTTTTTGTACTTTGAGTTGATTCGATCACATAATCTTAATCGCCAGCTCTGAGATTCAACGATCTGGACCGGCCACTGACGGCTCCACTAAAATGAAAGTTCACCAAAAAGTACTCTAGATCTATTTCGTGTAACCATGTGATATGTGTAAACTGGAACAGCTCAAATGACCAACAGCTGTAAATACACAACACCTTTTCGGAAGTAGTCCAATGTAACGTTTTTTGGAGGATAACACTTTCTTAGTAAAAAGACTCTAAGAGGCATATGTTTCCTCAGAATCATTATTAAGAACCCCGACCAGAACTGATAGGGATCCTCCTAGAACTGAATACAACAACTATGTATACATGAGAAGAACAGACCAAGGATGCCTATACCCGGAAGTATACACCCGAAGTATATCACTTTGATTGCTTCTGTTCGGTATAACGAGGTTTACTGTGTGTACATCCTCTGTAAGATCTGTAACCAAAGGTGATTAAATTAACAGTTCTTTAAATATCCGAATTTTGTAGCAGAGTATGTATTTCTTATTCTGAGATAATAATATTCTTATAATTGTAAAAAAAAAATTCAGAAAAACAACTCCTGTTTATAATAATAATAATAATAATAATAATAATAATAATAACAGGCCATTTATAGCGCCTTTCCACGCCTTATCACCGTAAATACATGATGACAACATTCAATAAAAACCTTTCCTCTGCAACAGATGTTGAGGATGTTGCCGTATATACCTATATGACTTTACATAAGGGATGCTGGATGTAAACATACACCGCTTTTGCCGATGCGGAAAGTTGACTGTTGACTTAAACAATAAGGGAAACATATGGTCTGAACAATTAATTTACTTTTAATTAAGCACACAATGCCTGGATGATTTCAAAATCGCACAAAGTCAACATGTTAGATCAGCCATAACACAAGCTGCTAGAATTAAATTAAGATAGATGAAAAGGTACAATGAGCAATCCCATGTGGAAATTAATTGGAAAAATAGCGACGGGAGTAGGCAACATCTTGTCAAGCATGTTAGTGCCAAGGCAATTGAATTTATATTAATATTTCATATCAATATGAAAGACTGCATTATCAACAAATTTTCAAATAAGTTAAATCCTCAAAGCAGTTGTACCCCATCATCTCATTGCAATGATTCCCATAACTGCACCTAGACACGCTAGCCTCCCCCAGAACCCAGCAGGTGCGAGGTTTCTTCGTATTGAAGCGCCCCGGTCATTGAGTGTCTGTCTCGCGATATCTCAGCCACCACGAGATAACGCGCGTTGGTGTTGTGATCAGAGATCGAGATACGTACACACGCATGTCCCCGGTTGTACACGCGTCCTTGACCTGAAGATGAGATATGGCTGCGCTCGTTCACCTGTGATTGAGTGTCGAACGTGGAGATAATAGCGGGCTGATATGCGATAAGTACTATCAGTTGAATGCTTCTCGAGCCCGAGATTATTGTCTAATGATGATATTATCTTACTTCGGTTCATCTTAAACTGCTTGGGTTCTTTGGATAAAATTCCAGCAAAGCGTAATGACTTTCAACCATGTTTCTAAGGGCTAATTTTGTCTGAACAATTTGGAACTCTTCGTGGATTGCAGGTCGGATGTGGTCAAATCGTGCTTGTTGAACGCGTCCACTAAAATGGGTATCAGGTGACCTTGCTCGGGTGGTCAGCAATAATTCCTTTGAGTTCCTGATATTTCTGGACGCTGGTATTCCCGACCCATTTAAGGTCACATGCAACCCAAAAAACAAACATAATTAAAACACAATCATCACTTATTCATGACATATAATATACATTGCTGATTATGAAAAAACAAATAAACAAAATTATAAGCGTACAATCGCGAATCAAAAGTGCAATATTTTGTACTTGGGTTTACTTCCCTCGAAACGAAGCACCCGGGAGACCGAACCCAGTCAGAGCGGGTGGGTGTGCACTCAAGTGTAACGAAGTCTTTTTCATTGGCTGGTATTTTTCATTGACGACAAGATACAATATATATCATCCATCATAGAATCAATGTACTGTAACATAGCTGTTATAATAAATATACACAAACGCAGTTGTATCTACATAAAGGACAAGGATCTAGCAATGTGAACTTAATCATGAGTCAAATATTAAAAATAAATGACATCATGATTTTTTGGTTGGTTCTGTAAATATAGAAACAAATGGTACTAAATCATAATTGTAATAATAATAATAAAATGGGTTCTTATATTGCGCTAACCTCCACACCAAAGTGTGCTCAAAGCGCTAACAGAGTTCGTAGATATCACGTGTGTTTACAGTCCATTTCTATTGAACAGGTAGGTCTTAAGATGTTTCTTGAAACAAGTTAGAGTTGATTTCAGATCAAATGGGAGAGCGTTCCATTCAACAGCAGCATTATGCGAATGATCTTCCGCCAAATGTAGACAATGTAGTAGAAGTCACCTTCAGCAAAGTACTACGTGTGTAAGAATTAGTCCTGGGCTTTGTTTCATATATACAATGAGCTATGTTTTTGTATAATCTACGGGGCGGTGGGGTAGCCTAATGGTTAAAGCGTTTGCTCGCCACGCCGAAGATCCGGGTTCGAATCCCCACATGGGGCACAATGTGTGAAGCCCATTTCTGGTATCCACCGCCGTGATGTTGCTGGAATATTGCTAAAAGCGGAGTAAAACCAAACTCAGTCAGTCAGTTGTATCATCTACTATTGTGTTGGTTCACCTTGGTGGATTAGTGGAGGGCTTTGTGCGGCGTTATATACAAAATACTGACTTTGGAGCCACAACACAAACACTGTTGGTGTTCAACAGCAGATCAGTGTTATGATTATCAGTATGAAAATACATCATACAAAGTTCAATTTAATGATAATCTGCGTGTAAACATTTCATGTATATGGCTTCTTCAGAACTGTGAAACGTAGAGTGGGTGCTCGGCGTTCGCCAGGTGTCAAAAGCCCGGTTCGGCTGACTACTATACCTTGGTTGATGTCATCACATCGTACGTCGACTGCATTGGTCGTTGCACAGAATGATGATGATGATGATGATGACACTATGAGTAAACTTAGGCTCAGTATTATTCGTTACACTGCCATACTGAGTCTAACAAACCCTAGTAGAAGGTCGCGTCAGCTAACTTTGAGCGACCTATGACCGTCCAATCAAACGCAAGACGGCCCAACGAATTTAACCAATCAGACAACTGCTACTTGTAAGGGTTCGGCGGGACTTACAAAATGGTTTTTGGATTTTCTCTTCCCCGGTCGCTGACACTGATCTCTCCACAAACGAAAATCCGCATAAAACACAGATATCTCACCTGCAGTATATATATATACGCTTATGGGTTTTTGATGACATGATTACTATTAACTTATATTTTAGCAAGATGACATCCTGGAATATTGACAAAAACACAATTTCCAGCGACTGTTTACTCATTGTTGTGAATAATGGGGTCCTCCATGTGTATCACTCAGCATTCGGAATCGTTCGAGTTTGTGAGGTAAAGGTTCAAACGGTACGTGCGAATGTAAACTGTCGCGATTTGGTAGCTGTGTTCTGATTGGTTTATCCTAAAGGTTAGCTGATGCGACCTTCTAGGGTTTGTTAGACTCAGTATAGCAGTGTAACGAATAATACTGAGCCTAAGTTTACTTAGACAGATGATGATGATACCCTATATTCCCACACAATATCTGTCAATGCATTGTCTAGTTCAGTCTAGATTATTCAGAGCCCCCGAGACGTACCTGAAATATCACTGCCGAAATAATATGTTGTTATGGGTGAGGCTATAAACAATAAACAAACAATCAAACTGAAATAAGTTTGTGAAAGGCAGTAGGGTAGAAAGTGGACTGACTATAAGAAGCTCTCGTAAAATAACTATTTCGCAATTACACCTAATTTACATTCAATTGCTTGAATAAAAAGTGTGTGAACTTTCGAAACAAAACATCGTCCTTGTTGATGGAGCCCAAGACGGAATTACTATTGTTGTCTGCAGTGCCTGAAGTATAATATTTTGCCGCATCCCCGCTCCCCCGAGAACGGAAATCCCCAATAAAACATGTCACTCCTTACAGCGAAATTATGAAGGATGGGGTGGTGCTACCGAGTTTCATTATCGTGTCAAAAGTATCTGATGGACAAAAGAGCGGAAACATGTGGTGAAGATTGTTGTCAAATATTGCTGCAACACATTGTTTAGAGAACAATACCCCCAGATACTTATATCACAGTGCCTGGTGTAGACGGGTGGAACATTATCTACATCTGACCTAACCGTCCTGCATATACATGTAACAACGGGGTTCACCTATCCTTATGAAACGATGTCTTCCTTTAACGAATTAAAAAAAGGGTTGATGTTGTTTTTGCCCCGTGTTTAACTGAAATCTTAGTCAACTTTGTCTCATGGTGTTAAATCAGGCATTGAAACTATTTTGTGATTGTTGCTGTCGATAAAATCCCTACGGTTTGCACCTACGTCACTTCGGATGT